CCCGGCATAGCACCTGAAGAGCTCTCCGAACGCTCCTGAGATGTGTGAGATCACAGTATGGACACGATTTGCACAAGCAGACGATGTCCCATGACATGACAAAATAAAGTCATCTTTTACAAACCAGGTTTTTAAAAAACGCGTCAAAACGCGTCATATGACGCATGAAAACCAAGGTTTGTCGACAAAACTCCTTTGTAAATTCGGACCAATGTGTATGTTATCTTGTTCCAACACAATTGCTCTCTTTTTGCATTGACTATTAGACAGTAAGGAAAAAAGTGATAACATCAACTTAAACTCAAAGAAATGCTTATTACAAGCAAAATTTATGAAATTCTCTTCGTTATGGTGATTAAAGTTTTGCCTTCATTCTCATCCCTTGTTTAAGGTAAACTTCCAATTGAGTGATAACAAATTGATAGGGTTTATCAAGGATGTTACCTTATATTTAATGAATGTCTTTCGTCAATTTCTTCGATGTTTACCATCGTAAATGTTCTTTCTTGCATTGGGTATAAAAGTAACCTTTGATTTTTCGATCGCTATTCGATATAAATACCTTATGCTCCTTACGCGTATGAAATGGCGCAGTATACAAGTGAGCAGAGAGAACTTAGATATCATAATACAAGAAATTAGTAGACTGTTTAAAATAAATAAAGGTTATCCTGTCGATTGATACAAGCTTCTGTGAAAGCCTATTTACATCTTTTTGAACAATGAAGCACTGAAAAAGGCAGAATTTAACTTTTTTTTATTATATGGCCTCACTTTAATACATTAGTGCCTAAGGCACAAACTTGGAACAAGACGATTTTGTCAACACTTTTTAAAGACCTTGCTGCTCATTCACCCGTGGCAGAAATTATTATCAATAGGGTATCATTGGATAGGAAATAGGTTTTGATTTGATTTGATTTGATTTATTGGTTTCTGCATCTTTTTTCTTTTTTCATCATACATTTTCATGAACATAATATGGCTTGATACAATATTTTAAGTGTATATAATTTTTATACAGATAATAAAAAAGGTTACTTGTTATCATGAAAACAATCCCAAGGTCATATTGGTTATGAATGTTCAATTAGGAGCAACCAAAGTAGGGTAAACTTGTTATTGATACACTCTGTACAATTTTACTTTGTTGAAAATACAAATATTTCAAGAGATTATTTTACAAACATTATGAACATGCAATTTCCATGAAAGTTTATCACTTACTATTATTCCCAGGAATTTCGTAGAACAGACTTTATGTATGACAGTATTATCAAGTACAGTATTTCCTGGTCAGTTATCAATAATATTAATAAAGAGCATAAACTTTTTTGTGTGTGTAAATTCAATGAAAATTTATTTGCCTTGATCCAGTCAGCATCTACTCGTAATTGATAGTTCATTGTTATCAGTTAAATTTCGGGGTCTTGATGAGAACACAAAATGTTAGAGTCGTCACCAAACAAAAGGAAGGGCAGGGTTGTTGAGGACATGTAAAAGTCATCAATACGTACAATAAAAAGTAATGGACCTAACTAGAACCTTGAGGCACACCACATTCAATGGTCTTTATTAATGTGCATCATCTAGGAGTCATATTGCTTTCTACTGTGGAGGTAGTTCTTAAACCAATCTAAGGCTATTCCTCTGATTCCGTAGTTAGACATTTTTGTATTTTGTTTTCGTGATTTATCGTGTCTAAGGCCTTCCAGAAATCCAAGAAAAAAAAAACCGTATGGACGAAATTGTCAATAGAGCGAACCACCTTCTTTACTTAGAGTCAAAAGGGCATGTGTTATACTGTGCTTTTACGGAAGCCAAACTGTGACATATAGGAAATATTACTAGTACATAGTTATTCATTTACAACTGCAAGCCATGCATATAAACATTACCTGTTTGATTGGATAATTTATACCTCGTCTGTTTATTGCATCTGTAGTTCATAATCATTTTGTATCTTAATATGTGAAACCTATGTCCCGGATCTGCTCTCTCTATTGGAGGATTTTTTCTCGGTTCTGCATCATAATTGGATCATTAGAGTTTAAATGTGAGGTAGAATTGAGAACAGATTGATTCCTGATAAACTAAGTATAATATTACTAATCCATATGTTACTATTAAAGGTAATACAAAGTTTTGGTATGGGGTCATGAATATGGTTCAAATGAACATATTGGAAGCACATACGATCCTACAATATTCAGTGATCGTTGTCGCGGTCGAAATCGACTCTAAAGTTATGAAATTGCAAAAAATAAACACTTTATGTTGAATAGCTCCCTCTCAAGGTCGAGATATTAATTAAGCTATAAAACAATGTTTATTGACTAAAGTCGACCGATTAGCTATTCACGTTCGGAAATTATATACCACAACTACATACTCTGAGATTTTCATGGTTGCAGCTACCATTGTACGGCCGTAAGAGCTATTTGAAATTTATCAACATTTACCGGGAGCACCGGTAAATTTTTATATTCAATTTTTCTCGAAAGCGGAAGTGTTTTAGGGGCTAAAATTCTGATGTTTTTAATACATCCACAGGGGCATCCAAATATATCAAAATTGTAAAGAATCACTATCCACCCATTTTTCAAAATTTCCCAAAACTTTGTAATACCTTTAAGACATCAAATACGCTGCCAAGTAGTGCAGTGATTCCGTAACAAAGTGTTTCATCAAAGGGTTCCATAATTGTTAATGTACTTTATATGGTTAAGGTGCTCAAAATGTGCGAGCTTGTCATATTGAAAGATAATCATTTAGTAAACGCTTTAGGATCTCATCATCATTCATTCTTATGTTATGCATTTCATGTTAACCTATCATTATCTCCTCACATTCCATTCTCGTTTCATAGCAAGTTCACTACCACCATCATACTAGTACGACACAGAAACTTTACATGCAACCCAGCTATTATACCTTTAATCAAATAAATTGGTAATAATGATTAATATTCATGAATAATGATGTAAAACTGTTATCCATTTTCAATACAACAATGTATCTTCTGATGAATTTAGTTTTCACAAAGCACACCATAAATGTAGGGTACTTTTAATATGTAAATGGTACAAGTTTAGGCAAAAATGTTGATTCTTTGCAAACATTGCTGCATACTCTTAATAATGTTCCCTTTTCCATTATTGGTGTCACTGAAACTTTGGTTCATATCACTTCGCGTACTTTATTTCACTTGCAAAATCTTACATTGATCAGACTATGGCCATGTATTATAAAGCCTTGTGATTGACCGTACGGTTGCTATGGAGCGTAAGTCTATGGCTTATCGTGTATTGATTAATATAATATCAGTCATAACTCTTTATAATACCCGACCTAGATCTTGAAGAAATACAATGAGGTGGTGTCGCATGTTATGTCAATGAACATTTACAATTTAAATCCGAAAAGAACTATCTTTAAAACGAAGTGAATCATTATGTTTAGAAATATTAATCCAAACAACACACAAATAATCGTTGGATTAGTTTATACAACCCCTCATGGTCATACAGATTTATTTTGTGAAGATCTTGATATATTCTTTCATACTCTTACTGGAGAAAGTAAACACTTATACTTAATTGGTGACTTCAATATTGACCTGTTATCTAATTGTAGCTACCAGGATACACTTTGTTATCCACATATAAATACACCAACCATAATTTAATGGTCAATTTTCAACCCATATAGACAGTATTTTGTTCATATATCTTTGATAAAAATATTACCGGTGGATTAATATATTCTGATATATCTGATCATTTGTCAATTTGTTTTAAAGTAATAATGACATTTCAATGAAAAAGTCAGCCTAATCAAACATGTACAGAAAACTCCACCCTAATAAAGTGTATCATTAAAAGTTGATCTACAAACAAAGAATGGTTGGGGTCTTTCATGAATCAAATGCAGATATGGCATACACAAAATAAAAAAATCAAACGAAAAAAAATCAAAATTACCGACATATTTTAACCAATTTTTTTTTCTAGTATCAGCTAACAAGAAAAATAAGCGTCGTAAAATGCAATGGATAACAAAAGAAATTCTACGGTAGATACACACAATGAATAAACTGTACCAGGCTTATAAAAATGAACTCTACCATTCATATTAAACATACCAATTTTTTAAAATTAATTATAAATAATTTGATTGGAAAGAAAAAAAATGCCCAATTAAGATTTTACAATAGTTGATACAGTTATAAAGTCTGAAGATATATCCGATACCTTTAATTCCCATTTGTAAATATAGGACCTAATTTATCAAATAAACTTGATACACCCAATGAAAAATTACTACCCTAAATATATTACTTATTACGGATATAGTATCGAAAATAAACCGCTGGTGACATTCGTTTGTCTCACAATGTATCGTCAACAAGGGATCTAAAAGATCACGACGTTTCGTGTGCCGCTGCTACAATTCGTCAGGTGATAAAATATATTGTAAGCAAGCGTCTTTTATACTCTACGGATGGACCGGGTGGACCGGCGGTCGAATAGTTAGAACAATAACGGACCATGCCTATTGGTCGAGTACGCCAATGTTCTCCCCGGGCAGGCGAGCCGAGGCGACGGCCTGTTGATTGGTTGAGCACCCGTGTGCTTTGATCAATTGGCTTTGTCCGGTATTGTTTTAATTATTGACAGCCGCTCCACCCGGTCCATCCCTAGAGTATAAAAGACGCTTGCTTAATAATATATTTTATCACCTGACGGAGTGTAGCAGCGGCACACGAAACGTCGTGATCTTTTAGTTCCCTTGTTGACCATACATTGTGAGACATACAAATGTCACTAGCGATATCATTTTCGATTTAGGAGTTGTTACGAGTTATTACGAGCTATTTACGGTCTATCACGGATTGTTACGAGTTATTACGATGTATTTACGGAAACAATTTTACGAGTTGTTACGAGTTGCGACGGATAACTATGAGCAAATTACGGGCATTTCATGACCTTTTTACGAGTTGTTACGAATGGCTACTTGTTAGTTACGATTTTTAGTTGCGATTTTGTAGATTTCGTACGTTTTCCAAATCGTAAACAATACGTAAAAATACGTAAAGTATACGTACCTATTCGTAAAGTACTCGTAACTACGTGTTAAGTGCTCGTAATAGCTTGTACCATTCAGTAAAGCCATCGTAGCACGACCCCGAATAGAATCGTAAACAGCTGTATGGGCTTTGTACATGTTCTGGGCGATGCGTTCATAGCGACAGCTCCTTCACATGATGTATTCAAGGTTGTTGATACTTCAGTTGATGCTGGAGTTTAATAGAAAATACTAAATTGTTTATTCAGTTATTCATCTATTTACTCTTTTACACATTAGATTATTTATTAAATTTTTCATATATTAATTCCTTACATCATTTATTCAATTCAAATAATCATACATGTACAGGATGGCTCATTTAAAAGTGGTCTTCTATGAGGTTTTGCTAAAGGTATAGACCAGTTCTGGGAACGCCCCCCTCTCAAAAAAAAAAGAAATGGAAGCTCTTATTACCAATACGTTTTGACTAAAACGTGATGATACAAATTTTGCCGGGAACCCGCCTAGTAAATTATATAATTGGTAAATTTTCATATCTATCCGGCCAGGATAGATATCGCGTAGTCCCATATACGTCTTTATGTGTACAGCGCTTGTGACTTTACCAAGAGTGGGCCAAATTTCTTACTTTGAAGATTCCAGAACCTTGCAGTACACACCAATACCTATATGGTAGATGATCAACCATTTCTGATCGATTCCACTACGTTTCTTTCACAATGCAATCGCATGACAACCTCCATACCAAATTTTATTATAGACAACACTCATTAGACTGCATTATCACATAGTGACACACCATTAGGCATAATAGGATGATATATATACAACATTATGTAATCCAAATTAGTCCGTAAATAATCATAGAGCAAATTGCTGTTCTGGGAATTTGTTTTTCTTCTTCTCATTGGTTAATATTTCCAATGATTAAATGATTAAAGTTAATAATGTTTTTCTTTATTATAAAGCATTTCATAACCTGAGCTGTTATATTCTTTACTCTGTTAACCATGAACCCCCCCCCCCTTCAAATATTTCCATGGGCAACAACCCGTGGCCGTCACCCTGGTAAGCTAGCTCATGTAATATATACCACATCACATTTTACCCTTTCTTTATTTGAATTAAGGCGACTGAAACTCACCAAGGAGTTCTTCAAAGAGCTCCATACGAAGAGCAATACGTTCATGCCAGGTGTAAGGTAAAATGCGAACATATCGACACGATATTGGCACGGGAAAGCGATTGTAAACCACGGTGTATCGGTCACTATTGCCGGGAAAGATCTGAGGAAAACACGCAAAATCAATCACTTGATAATAGAACAACGTGTAATTTCAAAGAGAGAGATAAATGCTATAATTAACATTATTAAGAGAACAATACTAATTAAGAAACGCTCTATAAAAGAATCACATTTGACTGGTAATCGACCAATTAACTGATTAGGGTCGAAGGGTGAGTAAATTGGTACCTACGTTGTCGGTGTCAGTGTTAGTGGGGTCTTTCACTGTATCAAAGGTAGTACTGTCTATACTGCAGGCAATCTTGAAGCTGGTTACCCACTGGGAATAATCCTGACGACCTTGTGTTGCAACTCCTACGATGCTGTACGTAGCTAAAAGATCAACCTGAGATTTGAATGATAATGATATCGAAAATGGAAATAGTAAGAACTGTGTTTGTATATATATATACAAACTTGTTGTATTCACCCTACGTGAATTACCTCGTTAATTCCACATGAACAAAATTAGCAATAGTTAATACTAAAGTCCGGCTAACATAATAGCGGCAAACGAAGGAATCACAACGAAGCTTCATTTTATTCTGACGACTGCTCTAAACATTTGTTTGGGGATTTTGGGCATTAAGACCTTGTTGTTGTTCCTTTTTTTTTGTAGAGGGTGGTATTTCCGGAATTTGTTGACATTTTCTGTTTATTTAATTAAAACTGTGTCCATTTCCTGAAGAAAGTTCTTCAATAGAATGCAGATGTTGATTGGTCTGGTGTTTCAATTGCGGGTAGCTCATTCTTGCATGCTTGATCGGAAGTATTTATGTCGATTAGTTAATATGTACCTATAGTAATACAGCTCAGCGCTCGGAATGGGTGTGTGCATCAAATACATGTATAATTGAAAATGTTGTTGATCATGAGCCCTGAAAACGTCGGGATTAAATGTTAGATATAGATAGTTGAACAGATTTACAGTCTGTCAGTGTTTTTGGAAGGAAATAACATTTGAAGGAATATTTGTTCTTGTGATCTCTTGGTTGAGCGAGTAACAAGGTAAGACAGGTTTCGTGTTGTGACGGAGAGATACCCTTTATGAGCTTGAGAAGCTTCAGGAGTGAGACTTCAAACAAACAAGAAAAAAATTCAGGAATAGAGACTGACCTGAATCCACTGGTTCAAATCGTTTGTTTTGGCAGACCATCCTCCATACAGGGCTCCGTCTCTGGCTATGTTTAACCGTCCTCGAAAAGGACCGTGGTTGGCGTCGTACTCACTAGAAGCTGTTAAGCTCGAATCTGGGATTGCCCCACTTTCTAAGCCTATAGGGCTAGCATCCTGGAAATGCCCTATTTTCAAAGAAAGAAACTTGGCCTAAATGAAATAGATTCATTTGTTCTTACAAAAGTCATGTATCTAAAAATAATACATACTGACAGGAGCTGCATGCTCTTTTAACGCAATAAAGTTACTGGACATCACTCATTAGTATTTTAATTGAATTTCTTCCTATTTAATTCATAACGTCTTCGAGTTTATATAGGCAACATGGTGTAACCGACAAATAAATAAACGTGAAAATGAGAGCACGATTAACATCTAAAGTACTAAACACTTACTCATATATAGATGTGCCCTTTTACCAAAAAATCCCAAGAAAATCAAGAACAAGGAAAAGAACAACTACAACAACAAAAACAACAACAACAACAATCAAACCATTTATTTCTTTACCAACAGGGATTAAAGATGTCACAGTTTCTGAGTGTACAGGTGTCAGTGTTGGGTTTGTCGAGGGTTTGGTCGTTGCTGTAGGAATAAGAGTGGGGACTATTGAGAACAAAGATTACAATAATGACTGGGAACTGTGAGGGACGGAAAGATGAACGATGGCGATGAGGTAAAATTGTGTTAACAACGAAATGTATATATTAATGATGAACAGTACAAAATAGTGTAAAATAAACAATAAACAAACAACAACAACATCAACAATAACATTAACAACTAAGAAGATATAAGAGCAAGTAGGAAAAACTTCTATTTGGTAGGGTTTTAAAAAATTTCCGGACATGTTCCAATCGGCAGGTGTTAAGCAACGACTGTATGGACCATTTTGAGTGGAGCAGGAATGATATTCTAATACTATGAGATTTAAGTAGTTTGGTTATGAGTACTGTTCTTACGTATGAACCAAAGCACCATTTCTTTTCTTGGGTCAATGCAAACACTACTTTGCATAGTTCTGAACAGGCGCGTACGCAGGGGGGGGGGTTTGGGGGGTTAAACCCCCCCCCCCCTTTGGAATTTTTTTGTGTGTAAACCCCCCCAAAAAAAACCTAAAACCCCCCCCTTTTGGATTTTTTTTTTTTTTTTTTTTTTTTTTTTTAATTATTTAAAAAAAAAAAAAAAAAAATTATTCCCATGGCCGACCTAAAAAAGGTGACCTTACCCCCCCCCCCAACGGAGCAAAATGTCAAATTCAAAATTTCGAGACCAAAAAAAAAAAAAAAAGTGTCCTCTTAGCTTATTCAGCGGTCGACTGAGTCGTTGCGATTTTTTTGGGACCAAAAAAAAAAAAATGTGTCCTCTTACGCATTCAGCGGTCGGCTGAGTCGTTGCGATTTTTTGGGACCAAAAAAAAAAAAAATGTGTCCTCTTACCCCCCCCCCCCCCCCGCTTATTCAGCGGTCGGCTGAGTCGTTGCGATTTTTTTTGGGACCCAAAAAAAAAAAATGTGTCCTCTACCCCCCCCCCCCCCCCCCCCCCCCCCCCCCCCCCGCTTATTCAGCGGCTGGCTGAGTCGTTGCGAATTTTCGGACCGATTTATAAATGTTAAAACCCCCCCCTTGAAAAAATCCTGCGTACGCGCCTGGTTCTGAATGCATGTATATCAATTAAGATCAGCAACCCCATTACATTCTTAAGGCTAAATTCGTTCCACGATGCTTTCACATCGGATCGGGTAGTCTAGTTACACGAACATTTGCGAAAACATTCCCCCCATATATCCATGAAAGGTCGGGTAATTCAAATGATAATGCTAATCTTTTACACATTTCTGAAAACTATCCAATGCAATGTCGATGTGTCGATAGCTAACTATTTTACTAACTCTTATGTGGATTATTCACCTCGTATTCAAAAGTATGGGGTCAAGTTGCGACTTTTTGTAGCTTTGCTGTAAGTCTTTTAGAAAATGTTCGGGTATACTTGACATAACGCTTTGGTGATACGAGGAGTGCATTCACAAGTGCTGCATGGGGAATTAGGGGTTGATCATTCACAAAAGTAAGTTGATTTTTGTTGTTATTCTCTTATTCTAACTAAAATACTTCATTTCATCAATGTTCAGTATGAGATAAGACACTGAACGAATCATACCTAAGGGGCCTATTCTTGGACTGTTATAATTATGTTGGAGTTGGGATATAAATCTGTTATTCAACTGTTTTTTTTAAACCCGCTTAAATCTGATCAAGGTAGCTGTGGTATTGATAACAGCCTTCCCATAACTATAGTGCCCCGAGTAATATCGAGTTCATCATCTTGCTCACCTGTTAATTGGTGCTCACTGATATACTTTTTACTCGGGTCAAGATTTATTAGAAGCATCCCTTATGTAATTCCGCATAATGGTGAGAGATCCGTAAAACGACACCCCCAAAAGTGGTTTTCGATATTCAGTTCATTTAGATTATAACGTGTTTAGCGTACCAGCAAAATATTATATAGTGGCGTAGAGAAGAGCAATTAACTATTAAGTATCGTTGCTTTAAAGTGCCCGTTCAAAGAAAATCACAAATATGGCAAATAACGTATCACTAGAAACTGTTAGGCTAACAGATGGCAATCGTACGAGTTTAGCTCAACTACATATCGGGTGATTTATAAAAAGATAAATAAACCAAAAACATAGCATTTAGGTTATACGAGAGATTCTCCAGAAAAATAAAGATTTTTTTCAATGAAATCACATTATTAACCGGTTTCGCCCAACCAGACGACGAAGAATAAACATAATTGCAATGCTGTTAGTTCTCACATTATAATGAGTTTAGTGTATATAAATGTGATGGCATTTTACACCATTCAAAACGGAATATGAAACCGATTCTGATGACTAAATTCTTGTATTTTAAATACACAGGATAAGGTTTAATGAACAATCAAAACAACCACACTTTCAAATTGGAACCACCCCCCCCCCCCCCCGAATGATAGCGTAGACGGCATTTGTTCCCTCTTGAAACACCGAACATACTGCGGCGTATGCAGCTGGATATACAATGACTTTATTATTTTATCCCTGCATTTTTCATCAAAATAATTCCATGCGGGGGGTCTAGAGTAAAGCAATAGATTAAACACTAAAGCATATCAATTCCTTTCATAGCAAAAGTGCTCCTCACAATTTCTGTAAATTTGACAGTTTAACGCTACAGTTCAACGCCTTGACCGGACTGTGCGGTATCTGTGCAGTTCTGTGTGTAGAGAGGTCGGGCCGTATTCATTATTTCTTGGGGGTGCATAAATTGCTCTAATTATACGTACGCGTGTAATGCGCAATTTCATTGTGACGGCACTAAACCCATCCCACTCATTGTTCCCCTATTTTCATAATGGTACTGACCCAATGAAATGTGCAGTGCGCTCGTACGCGCTGCGCTGCATGTGTACATGTACTGTACTTATGCATGTTCAGTTATATGTGTATGCATAGCATTACGTACATGTATGCATACACGGCTAGCTGGCACAAAACCCTGGGTCGGGCTTCTAAAATGGGACATGAATGATTTGACATGAACATTGACGGGGCTAAAATGAATCAATCAAAATGAGCTTTATATGTATGAAAAGCTTACGTATTATATGTCATTGTCTGGGATTGAGGATTTACAAATTTGACGCAAAACGCGTTGCTGCAAAGTTGAAGATTGGTATATTGAAAGGCAATCGAGCACAGTGCGACCGATCAATGGACATTATGTATGAGAAAGTAAAACAAGTTAAATGGATTGTAAAGTTTAACGTCAAAATGACGGAGGTTTTTTTTCAAGTAAGGGCATGGTTTTACATGGAATGTAAAGGAAATGTTTCCTTCTTCTCATATCTCGATTGAGGATATTATACTCAATTTCGATTTTTTTATGGTAAAGAAAAGTGTAAAAAGATGTCGAGAATTTTACAATATGTCATGTAATATAAAATGCGCGCCGGTCGGTTGATCTCCCAAAAGGAGCGCGAAGGAATTGATATGTTAGTTTTAAAAATCAATTAACCTTCTCTTTAATGGTCAAAGATCCACAAATGCCTCTGCGATCGTGTAACATTTGAAACCTTCAAAGTATAAGTACACTCTACCATGAAAATATGAAGGAGTATAAGCGACTCGAAAATACGGTGAGAAATTAATTAAAGTTTTACTAAATCGAAGAGTACATTCTGTATATGGTACACGTTGGATTAATGATGTAATTTTTAGCAATTCAGATAATAATTTTCCATAAATACCATTATAGGATCAAAAGGACCTTTGGGAGTTAAGCAATGAATAATATAGTTTGTGTGTGTGTGTATGTGTTTGTGTGTGTGTGGGCGTGTGTGTGTGTGTGTGCGTACCCATTATTCTCGTATTGCAACCCTTGGCTATTAAAGATTGCATGTATAGTTCCAGATACTACTTTTAAAAAAGGTTAAGGGAAAGGACATCGTTCTTCCAAAGTTTTCATAGGAAAAAACGAAAATCTGTACTAGAATTGTTATTATTCAGAAAATAGCATCGAATTAATGATCATCAATTGTTGCATTACACTGAAGGTCCATCGGTCTTGAAAAGTAATACAGTTTATAATTCTTAAGCTAAGTAATTCTGAAAATTACACGGGGGTTTCATTGCACCCAATAGAACAGGAAATTACCAATATTCTGAAACCGCTATATAATATTCCTGAAGCGAGATGCTCTTTTTTATTTCAATATTATTTGATTCCGTATATTTTGATAATTCTGATAATTAGATGAGGTTATCATGGCATTAAAGGTGGATTTTTTTTCCAGCTAGCTTCAATAGCTTAACAAAAACCATGAAACAAACTGGAAAGTTGGTTTTCTAGCAAGAGACGTTTGATATTCTATCGATCCATTGGCGAAATTGATGGGGCCTTATACGTATATGGGACTACATGTAAGTGATTACTTAAACATATTTGGGCTTACACCCAGTAAATGAGATCGATTGATCGATCTGTTTTGAAAAACAATACACAAATATGTTTGAATAATTGAAATTTCTCACAGAAAGCATTACATTTATATATTAAAAAATGTAAGTGATTGTAGTACAGTTACTCCCAGTTTACATTTAGATAAATGTTTAGTAGTAAACTTTACTCTATTTATTACTTACCACAGCGCCCTCCAGTACAACATATTGATACAATGATCAAAATTAAAGCAGCTGCGTCCTGAAACATTACTGAAGCCGCCAATAAAATCACTCGAAAATATCAAATGGTAAACACCTTAAATCAAGCAGTGAGGCATATAGACTATACTGTCTCAGAAATGATCTGACCATCCATCTGAGGAGCTTCAATTATTCATTAACTAAATGTAGTTGATATTATATAACGAATATAAAGATTCGAGGCCTCTGATTGGTCAAAACTGCAGTCATGATATTCACTACTGACTGTTTAGGTCAATGATCCAAAACCAGCAACTTTTATTAGTTTCGACTGTCTACTGTCTGTTTTCTCCTTCATTTTTTTAAAAATGCATTATGTCTCTGCTCGTATTCACTACTCATTTCTTTATTATTTAGTATTCATGACGTATAATACCTGAATTTCTTGAGTTTTTGTAATATCTGTTCTTTATTCTTGCTTCATATAGTGTCAGATTTAATGGTACAGTTTAAAGAAAAGTACTATCGTGTGTCTGTTTTTAAGAATATTATGGAAGAAAGTGTGTTGTATAATAATATATATTGATAGGAAATAATATCAAGCATTCTGCTTATGATAGTTGTCCTCTGAATTTATCTTGAAAATAAAAAAAAATAAAAAAAATCCTCTGGACGGCCATGCATTATGGCTCAAGGCATGGGCACACAGAGGATTTTTTTAATGTTGGGAACCGGGGTAAAATGCAATAAATTGTTGAAAATTTATTGCATTTTTTTTTTTTTTTAAATTTATGGAAACAGCCCCTATCCTAGCCCCCGCTGCGTACAGTCATGGTTCAGTGACAAAGCAATGGCCTCGTAACTGTGAGGCCCCAGGATCAAAACCGTGTCGATATGTTATATTAGTTCCCTTTTATGGGGCATTAATCCTAATTACTGTCATTTATGACTTAAGGGCGTAGGTCTTCTAGTTGATAAGCATAGTATTATACACATGCTTTAGCAGTCACGCAAAACACACATTGTCAAATTATTATTCAGTAAAATCTGGGAATGTATACTATTATCTAGATCTATTATTTTAAAATTATTTTTAAATTAATTCCATGAATTGGGATAAAACACAAATATTCCAACTTAATGAGCGACAGTGTATATATATATATACATATATATATATATATAATATATAAAGAGCAACAGACAGAGAGAAAGAGAGCGTGAGAGAGTGTAAGGCCCGAACAGACTGACAGAAAGACAGAGGCAAACAGACAGTGAGAAAGTGAGAAAGCAAGAGAGAGAGAGAGAAACAGACAGACAGAGGGGAAGAGAGAGAAAGCGAGAGAGAAGGGGGAGGTAGGGAAAACAATATACATGTAATCGTACATTTTAATCTCGGATCTAATTGTGAGCTTTTACAACGTTTTGCAGTTTGTTCCATATCAATTACTTGTGTTCGTTGTCATCGGTAGTAGTGTCATACGTAGTAGTAAATATTGATGTTCACATATCAAGGCGTTGACTTTAGTTCGGAAGGGGTATCTGTAAGCATCGTCTGCAGAGAACGAAGAGGGCGATGTCTTAATTGTCATGAATGAAAATTAGAGCAGGTAAAGGCATCGTTTAACAATGTTAAATCTAAAATGCACGGCCCTACGTGTTATCAGTGTCTCTGATATGGTGTGATATTGAAGCCCTAAAAGAATTGCACTTCAAAATGATCAAGAAGTACCTCAAAAAACCAAAAATATTTGAGTGACCGGTTTTACCATACTTGTTTTCCCCAACTTGTTTTCCCCAGTAGACTGTACTATGTTATGAAAACCGTTTGGCAAACGGTTTTAAAAATGTGTAATTCCAAACATAAATATCTTGATAATCAGACAGACGATCGGCTTGCAAAAGTCATGCGGTTCCTGGCTGACCTAAAGGTTTATAATTATCACTGCAGCATGAGCTAAATCCAGGACTTTGTTTCAGAATCTGGGACAATGTAACCGGATCCCTTTAAAGAGAATCAAAACTTGTTGTTGATAATGCTGGGCAATGGGTTCCATGATTTCTAACCAGATGTTTTCGATTTAAAGCACTCATGTTAAGGTTTGTTTGCTGAATGCCAAAAAGGCGAGTTCCATCTGACGGACAATGTATTTTGAAAGTGAATTAGCTCGCATATATATAATCATCCTACACTTGTACTCCCATAGACCTTAAAGGTAGGGTTCAATTCCAATGCTAGATCCTGTATCCTGCACTGGACCGGATTCGTGTAGTGACTCAAGAAATTCATGCCACACTCATACAATAGGAGCGACAGATACTTTTAAAGTAGATATTCATTGATTTTAAAAACTAACTTAATTTCATATTACAAAGTTGAAACTTTGATTCGACAAGGTTATCAAAATTCAATGCTTGGAAACATTCGAAGTAATGATTATTATAATTTATAAAACGCTTAAATACAGCCCCGGCATAGCACCTGAAGAGCTCTCCGAACGCTCCTGAGATGTGTGGGATCACAGTATGGACACGATTTGCACAAGCAGACGATGTCCCATGATATGACAAAATAAAGTCATCTTTTACAAACCAGGTTTTTAAAAACGCGTCGAAACGCGTCATATGACGCACGAAAACCAAGGTTTGTCGACAAAACTCCTTTGTGAATTCGGGCCAATGTGTATGTTATCTTGTTCCAACACAATTGCTCTCTTTTTTCGTTGACTATTAGACAGTAAGGAAAAAGTGATAACATCAACTCAAACTCAAAGAAATGCTTATTACAAGCAAAATTTATGAAATTCTCTTCGTTATGGTGATTAAAGTTTTGCCTTCATTCACATCCATTGTTTAAGGTAAACTTCTCATTGAGTGATAACAAAATAATAGGGTTTATCAAGGATGTTACCTTATATTTAATGAATGTCTTTCGTCAATTTCTTCGATGTTTACCATCGTAAATGTTCTTTCTTGCATTGGGTATAAAAGTAACCTTTGAGTTTTCGATCGCTATTCGATATAAATACCTTATGCTCCTTACGCGTATGAAATGGCGCAGTGGACAAGTGAGCAGACAGAACTTGGATATCATAATACAAGAAATTAGTAGACTGTTTAAAATAAATAAAGGTTATCTTGTCGATTAAAACAAGCTTCTGTGAAAGCCTAGTTACATCATTTTGAACAATGAAGCACTAAAGCACGAGGCACAATTTAACTTTTTGTATTATATGGCCACACTTTAATACATAAGTCCCTAAGGCACAAACTTGGAACAAGACGATTTTGTCAACACTTTTTAAAGACCCTGCTGCTCATTCACCCGTGGAAGACATAATTATGAATAGGGTATCATTGGACAGAAAATAGGTTACTTTTTATCATGAAAACAATCCAAAAGTCATATTGGTTATGAATGTTCAATTAGGAGCCACCAACGTAGGGTAAACTTTTTATTGATACGCTCTGAACAATTTTACTTTGTTAAAAATACAAATATTTCAAGAGATTATTTTACAAACATTATGAACATGCAATTTCCATGAAAGTTTATCACCTACTATTATTCCCAGGAATTTGGTAGAAAAGACTTTATGTATGACAGTATTATCAAGTACAGTATTTCCTGGTCAGTTATCAATAATATTAAAAAAGAGCATAAACTTTTTTTTTGTAGTATCTGCTTACAAGAAAAATCAACGTCGTAAAATGCAATGGATAACAAAAGAAATTCTACGGTAGATACACATAATGAATAAACTGTACAAGGCTAGTCAAAATGAACTCTACCATTCATATAAACAAAAAAATATAAAACATACCGAATTATATTAAATTAATTATAAATAATTTGATTGGAAAGAAAGAAAAAAAAATGCCCAATCAAGATTTTACAATAGTTGATACAGTTATAAAGTCTGAAGATATATCCGATACCTTTAATTCCCATTTGTAAATATAGGACCCAATTTATCAAATAAACTTGATACACCCAATGAAAATTTACTACCCTAAATATATTACTTATTGCGGATATAGTATCGAAAATAAACCGCTAGTGACATTCGTTTGTCTCACAATGTATCGTCAACAAGGGATCTAAAAGATCACGACGTTTCGTGTGCCGCTGCTACAATTCGTCAGGTGATAAAATATATTGTAAGCAAGCGTTTTTTATACTCTACGGATGGACTGGGTGCCGGACCGGCGGCCGAATAGTTAGAACAATAACGGACAAGGCCTATTGGTCGAGTACGCCAATGTTCTCCCCGGGCAGGCGAGCCGAGGCGACGGCCTGTTGATTGGTTAAGCACCCGTGTGCTTTGATCAATGATTTTGACGATGATTTATTTCTACTAGATCTAGATAAAAGTATACATTCTCAGATAACAACTAGGGAATATGGGAATAATAACAACTGGGGATAATAACAACTGGGGAGTGTTTGTTTTGCGTGAATGCTAAAGTATGTTTGTGCTACAGTGCTCATCAACTAGAGGACCTACGTCCTTAAGTCATAACTGACAGTAATGGGGATTCAATAATTCATTGTATTTTGCCCGACCCCCAACATTAAAAAATCTTCTATGTGGGCATGCCTTGAACCATAATGCATGGCCCTACGGAGGAATTTTTCCTAAAGTAATGAATTGTAAATAATACACTCTTTATGTTGTATAGCTCCCTCTCAATGTCAAGTTATTAATTAAGCTATGAAACAATGTTTCTTGACTGAAAGTGACCGATTAGCTATTTTCGTCTGGATATTATATATCACATCTACATATTCTGAGATTTGCATGGTCGCAGCTACCATTGTACGGCCGAAGGCGCTTTTTGAAAGTCATCAATTACCGGGAGCACGGGTAAACTTTATACTTAATTTTTTTCGAAAGCAGAAGTGTTTTAAGGGCTAAATTTTCAAGTGCTGTCAATACATCCACAGGGACCTCACTCATTAGCATTTTATTTGTATGTCAGCAACTTTTGAATACATTTCGTAAACAATCAAAGAGAAATTGCAGGCAGTATGTCTTTTCATGGCTTAAATATTGTGCCTAAATCTACTGACATGACTGTAGAGCTGATGAAAGGTTTCCTTTAAATAATGATTTTTCTTTTTCTTCATATTTGTCTCGAAATATCACTGTTCTGAAATATTTTCAACAACAAAAAATCAGGGTGCGTTCCGCGGGCAATAGCCCGGGGTGTCATCCTACTAGCTCATCTACAAACTCACCAAGGAGTTCTCCAAATAACTCCATACGAAGGGAAATATGTTGATGCCATGTGTAAGGTAAGAGGCGAACATATCGACACGACATTGGCACGGGAAAGCGATTGTAAACCACGGTGTTTCGATCACTATTGCCAGGAAAGATCTGAGGAAAACACGCAAAAAGAACAACGTGTAAATTCAAAAAGAGAGATAAATGCTAAGATTAACATCGTGAAAAAAAAGGAATTGAGAAACGCTCAATAAACGAATCACACTTGACTGGTAATCGACCAATTAACTGATTAGGGTCGAAAGATGAGTAAATCGGTACCTACATTGTCGTTGTCGGTGTTAGTGGGGTCTTTCACTGTATCAAAGGTAACATTATCCATACTGCAGGCAATCTTGAAGCTGGTTACCCACTGGGAATAATCCGCACGACCTTGTGTTGCCACTCTTACGATCCTGTATGTAGCTAAAAGATCAACCTGAGATTTGAATGATAATGATATCGAAAATGGAAATAGTAAAAACGGTTTTTGTATAAACACATATATGTACAAACTTGTTGTATTAACAAGACATCTATTTATATAACCCTAAGGAGTTCTTTCGTTAATTCTTCATAAAAAAAATAGCAATAGTTAAACTTAGCAATTTGTTTTTGGATTTTGGGGCATTTGAACTTGTTCTCCTTCCCTTTTTCTTCTGTTTTTGGTAGGGGGAGGGGGTGGGGGTATTTTTCGGAATTTGTTGATATTTGTTGTTTATTAAATTAAAACTATGCCCCTCATCTAAGAGAAGTTCTTCAATGGACTGTAACTGTTGATCGGTCATGTATTTTATTCTCACAATACTCGGCTTTGTAACACATTTCATTCATGGAAAGTAAAATGTTCATTCTCTCAAAAATCTGTAAGACATAGTTTGCCAAACAAATGGAACACTCTACCTCCAGTCATTCGCCTATATAAAAACAGTCCAATGTTTAAAAATTAAATAAAACTGACCTTTTATTTTGAATACCATTAAATTTGCCTTCTAAACCCTCCCCCCTCCAATTTTAAATTATTTCATACTTGTTTTGTAGTGTTTTTATTTCTTTTTATTGTGTTTATCGCTGTATTTTGTGATATCTTTAACTAATATATGCTCAGTAATATAAATAATATAAATTATAATATTCGGGGAACTTCTTATACAAGGCCATCATGGGCTTTTCCTTTTTTCTCCCATTTCATTTGAAACTATTGTATTAACTGAATATTCTTTGTATCTATATAACCTTGTATGTTTTTTTGCATTTGTTGTGTTTTCTATGAAAAAGAAATGAATAAACGAACTCGAACTCGAACTATTCTTGCACGCTTGATCGGAAGTATTTATGTCGATTCGAGAATATGTACCTCTAGTAATACGGCTCAGCGCTAAGACTGGGTGTGTGCATTAAATACTAAATTAATACATGTATAATTATAAATGCTGTAGATCATGAGCCTTGATTACGTCGGGATTAAATGTTAGATATAGATCGTTGAACAGATTTACAGTCTGTCAGTGTTTTCAGAAGGAATTAATATCTAATGGAAAATTTGTTCTTGTGATCTCTTGGTTGAGCGAGTAACAAGGTGAGACAGGTTTCGTGTTGTGACGGAGAGATACCCTTTATGAGCTTGAGAAGCTTTATGGAGTGAAACTTCAAACAAACAAGAAAGAAATTCAGGAATATAGAGACTGACCTGAATCCACTGGTTCAAATCTGTTGTTTTGGCAGACCATCCTCCAGCTTGGCCTCCGACTTTAGCCATGTTTAACCGTCCTCGACGCGGACCGTGGTTGGCGTCCCACTCACTAAAAGCTGTCAGACTCGAATCTGGGATTGCCCCACTTTCTAGGCCTAGAGGGCTACCGTCCTGGATAGGGCCTTATTTTCAAAGAAAGAAACTTGGTTTAAATGAATTAGATCAATTTGTTCTTACAAAAGTCATGTATCTAAAAAATAATATATATTGGCAGGAGCTGCATGGTCTTTTACGCAATAAAGTAACTGGATATCACTCATTGGTATTTTAATTGTATGCATATGGCTCCGTTTAGTCTCATTTCACAACGCCCCCTATCGTCAGAGTCAGCAGCCTAACATGTTAGCCTATGGAATTTTGCCCCCCGAAATCGTTAACAATTTTTGTTTTTTTAAACGAAAAGCACATCCACCCCGACGTACGTTATCACTAGCTCTTTCATTTGAACCCTCATGTCCCATTGACTTTTGAAAGTTCACTCACCGTTATTTGATCAAAATAGGTTGCAAGATCGTCATTGCCTATAATACACATGTGAAACAAGTCGAACTTTGGACTCAGTTTGCCAAGCGATTTTAAGATTATAGGTCAAGCACACGAAGGATAAGAAGCATGAATTATCATAGATCACTTCTGCTTGGTTCATTTAGTCCATTTCATCCAACCCCCTCCCCCCCCCCCCCCCCCCCACCGTAATTTTTCCATTTAGTAAAAGAAAACATTTTGCCGAGGTAAGCAAAAACATGAATATTCATGAACGGTCAGACAATACAGCCTTTTAGTACGTAACGTATAGTGAATAAGAATGGGCGATGATCCGTCCAGGAGGTAGAGGTCAGTGGTTTGTGCTGGCAATGTTCCAGCGAACGAAAATGAGACAACCGGAGCGATATGTCTACAAATAATGAAGACATTTCTTTGAACAAAAAAATGTTTGCAGTGCAAAGAAATATCGATGTCTGGAAATAAGTTTACACATCATTAATTACAAAAGTGACACAATTACTATTTTGCATGAAAAGCAAAAGCAACAACTTTAAACTGCTTCATCTTATTCCCTGTTAGCATCCAATGCTCCCATCTTTACAAAAAAAAATCCTGTGTCAAGATATGAACCAGAAATACACTACATGTATATCCGTGCAGGACCGAGACTCGAATCTCAAACCTATACATCAACTGCCAAGTTTTGAAACCACTAAAGCACCACAGTTTCGACTCTGACACTTCTTATATAAATGATGTCTTCGAGTGATATCTGTTTCATAAACAGTCTAGGCCTACTGTCAATTGCATTACCTTTCAATTATCCTACTGGTGAAAATATTCACAATGTATCTCTTTTTTTTATTCCCCTTTCATTGGTTTAGATGGATGTTTCATCCATAAACAAGTATATCATTTGGCAATGTGTTGGCCTCGGTTGGCTCGTCCACTATTTGATTATAATCAGCCCTCCCCCCCCCCCTCTATTGTTCTCATCTACGTACATGACTTGTATATGCATATGCTTTAACTGATGCTGGTATCGTTTGTTGCTTTTATCTCTTCAATTGCTATCTTTATTTAAAAGAAAAAGATATGCCTAATCCATTGCCTCGGTAGTAAACAACACATAATTGTCTTTTCATTAATTTAGTCTTCGAGGTTAAATAGCTATTGAGTTCATAACGTCTTCGAGATTCTACAGGCAACATGGTGTAACCGACAAATAAATAAACGTGAAAATAATAGCACGATTATCATCTAAAGTACTACAAACTTACTTATATATCTTCCCCTCTACGAAAAAATCCCAAGAAGATCCAGAACAAGGAAAAGAACAACTACAGCAACAACAAACACAACAACAATGAAACAATTTTTTTTTTAACCAACAGTGGGTTGAGATGTCAGAATCTCCGACTGTACAGGTGTCAGTGTTGTTGGGTTAGTCGTAGGTTCGGTCGTTGCTGTAGGAATAAGAGTGGGGACTATTGAGAACAAAGATTACAATAATGACTGGGAACTGTGAGGGACGGAAAGATGAACGATGACGATGAGGTAAAATCGTATAATTTTATATAGTAATGATAAACAATAACAACAATAGTTTTAAAAAAAACAATAAACAAAACAACAACAACAGTAACATTAACAACTAAAAAGATATAAGAGCAAGTAGGAAGAAGCGACATGAGAATTAACTCGGAGCATATTTGTTAAAGCTCCTTTCGTTTAGGGATATGTTTTTGGATATCTGGACCACAACGCGAAATTTAATATAATTTACTTGCAAGTTAAATGGCAATGCAGTTAGTTAGCTCTTAAATCCTGTTAAGGTACCCTACCTAAACAGTTTTGCTTAGAGTAGATATTCATTGATTTTAAAAACGAACTTCATATACATTATTGCAAAGTTGAAACATTGATTCGACAAGGTTATCAAAATTCAATGCTTGGAAACATTCGAAGTAATGATTATTATAAATTAGAAAACACTTAAATACAGCCCCGGCATAGCACTTGAAGAGCTCTCCGAACGCTGCTGAGATGTGTGAGATCACAGTTTGGACATGACTTGCACAAGCAGACGATGTCCCATGACATCTCACACATTTTCAGTGCCTGTGTTTTCATCTTCTCTCAAGTTCTTTCTCTTACATGGTTTTATTTTGATGAAAAATGCAGCGATACAAAAATAAAGGAATTTGTCGCTTGTAAACAAAATAGGACGCCATTGTATATTCAGCTGCACACACCGGGGTATGTTCGGCGTTTCAAGAGGGAACAAATGCCGTCCTTAACATCATTCTGGGGGTTTTCAATTTGAAAGTCCGGTTTCTTTGATTGTTAATTAACCCCTTTCCTGTATATTTACAAGCAAAAGATTTTAGTTATCAGAATCAGATCATATCCCCTTTCGAATTGTTTGACATGCCATTACATTTATTAACACTAAACTCATTATAATTTGAGAAATAATAGCTTTGCAATTATGTTCATTCTCCATGGGATGTCGTCTGCTTGGGCAGTGTTGGTCCATATAGTGACGTCATTAAAACATCGTTATTTTTCCGGCGAATCTCTTGTATATCCCAGCTGCTATGGAGGTGGTTGTATTTGTATTTTTATAAATCACCCGATATGTAGTTGACCTAAAACTTGTACGATGGCCATCTGTTAGCTTACCAGTTTCTAGTGATACATTAGTTGAAATAATTGTGATCTTCTTTGAATTTCACCTTTAACTGGCAGGGTTCATGTAATCCACCCTGACGGAAAATGTCATTAAAATAAGGAACCCAGGATGTGTATTAGTGGTGTAGAAGAAAAGCATCACAGTAGTGTCGGATCGAAGGTCGTCATAAGTGCACGTGAGAAAAGATATGTGCCCCAAGATGTACAGCAATTGTAGCCCGTTAAGTTTTTCAGAGAACTTCTTTTTTTATTTTTTTATTTTTTTATTTTTTAAAATTTCCGGACATGTTCCAGTCGGCAGGTGTTAGGCAACGACTATATGGACCATCTTGAGTAGAGTGGGGATGATATTTTAATACTGTGAGATAAACCTAGTTTAGAATATTTAAAATACCGTAGTCCTACATTAACCAAAGTGCCATTTCCTTTCTGGGCGCAATGTGAACACTACTTAGATCAGCGAAAATGTGGTGTCGTGGTCAAGTGGATACGTCGCCGGACTGTCGATCGCAAGGTTCGCGGTTCGAGTTCCGCCGTGGCACTAATGTCCTTTGGCAAGACATTGATCTACATTTGCCACACTCAACCCAGGTGATGTAAATGGGTACCTGGTAGGAATTAATTCCTTGAAATGCTGGATAGCTGTATAAACGGCTGCTAGGCTAAAGCCAGGGTAATAATAAATGTGCCTAGGAATAGAATTATCTAGATAGATGGCGCTATAGAAATGCCAATTTGTATTATCATTATTATTGTTAGCTTGGCATCTGGGGCCAAGGAAACCTACAGCACAGTACTCCCATCTTATCAAGGTTTTGGTAGTGTAACACCAAACAGAGTCTTCATTATCCGGGTTTCTGCAATAGTTGTCGTCTAGTTCCGCGTTAGGATAGTTTATAGCTGGAGTCCTAGTGTAATTATGGGGATACTGAGAGGTCCATGCTTGACAAGTATGACCGTGGATTGTCTGAGATAAGTTCCCTCTGTAGTTCACTCCTGTAGGATCTTCATGACATGCAGCTGCGTCTTAAGAAACACAATCAAACGATGTTGTTATAAACATGACAAGTCTGAAACTCTGAATAACAATTTGGTCCACCCATTTTACCCGTGACATTTAAATTTAAACACGGATGCGGATACTAGTATGCAGTCCACCCATGGATGGCATCAAAGGGAGTAAAACCGAATAAAAACAAGCCCTAGCTAGTTGATTTTTTTTGTTATTCTCTTGTTTTAACTAAAATACTTCATTTCATCAATTTTCAGTATAAGATAAGACACTCATCGAATCGTACCTAAGGGGCCTATTCTGGGACTGTGATAAATATGTTGGAGCTGGGATATACAACTTTTATTCAACTGTTTTTTTAAAACCCGGTTAAATCTGATCAAGGCAGCTGTGGTATTGATAACAGCCTTCCCTTAATAGTGCCCCGAGTAATATCGAGTTTATCATCTTGTACACCTGTTGATGCTCACTGATATACTTGTTACTTGGGTCAAGGTTCATTAGAAGCATCTCTTATGTAATTCCACATAATAGTGAGAGATCCGTAAAACGACACCCCCAAAAGTGGATTTCAATATTCTGTTCATTTAGATTTAATACTGTGAGATTTAAGTAGTTTGGTTATGAGTACTGTATTTGTATGAACCATGGACCTTACTCATTAGTATTTTATTTGTTTGTCAGCAACTTTTGAATAAATTTCGTTAACAATCAAAGAGAAATTGCAGGCAGTATGTCTTTCCCTGGCTAAAATATTGTGCTTAAATCTACCGACATGACTGTATAGCTGATGAAAAGTTGGCTTTAAATAATTATTTTTCTTTTTCTTCATATTTGTCTCGAAATGTCACTGTTCTGAAATATTTTCTTATTCTCATTTGTAAATATTCCTAATGATTTGATGTAAAAGGTTTATAATTTATTTCATTCTAAAGCATTTCATAACCTGAGCAGTCAAAATCTTTACTCTGTTAACTATGACCTCACCCCCCCCCCCAAAAAAAAAAAATCCAGGTGCGTTCCGCGGGCAATAGCACGGGGGCGTCATCCTGGTAAACTAGCTTATCTAGAAACTCACCAAGGAGTTCTCCAAACAGCTCCATAAAATAAAATAATACATATTGGCCAGAGCTGCACAGTCTTTTGACTCAATAAATTTACTAGACCTCACTCATTGTTATTTTATTTTTTATAAACATGAAAAGTCGGCAGACGTTCTATTCTGAATAACAACTTGGTCTACCCATTTTACCAGTGACATGTACATTTAAACACGCATGCGGGTACTAGGATGCAGTCCAGTGTAGATGGCATCAAAGGGAGTAAAACCCAACCAAATAAGTCCGAGTTTAATAGTTTTTGTTTTTATTATCTCATTCTATTCTTGCAATAATAATAACGTGGTAAATGATTATATTTATATATTATATTTATATTTCATGCCTACTCTTGGTCTGTGAGGCCATTATTCAATTGTTTTTCCTAAACTCGGTTACATCTGATCAAGGCAGCTGAGGTATGAATAACAACCTTCCAATAGTGCACCGAGTAATATCGAGTTTATCCTCTTGTACACCTGCTTGGTGGGTAAAGCTGGTATACTTGTTACTCGGGTCAATTATTATCAGAAGCATCTCTTATGTAATTCGGCATACTAGTGAGAGATCCCTAAAACGACTTCCCCAAAAGGGGATTTCGATAAAAGGCTATACATTTAAAGCGTGTTTAGCGTACCATTAAAATATTCTACCGTTGCGCAAAGTAGAGCATTAATTGAATTGGACTTAGTAACATTGTTCAGATGAGAGAAAATGGTGCTTAGGTAGATACTTTAACGCTAGATGTACATCCTGTGTTATTTATTCTAGCTGTACACTGCTAATCTCAATCTCATACGACCATCAGACCGACATAAAATGGAAAGAGAGAGGCTAGGGGGTAAAGAACATGTATAGCCCCTCCCTCCCCCGCCGGTAGTCGGTCCTGCTGGACAGCCGGGGCATAATGCATGATATAATCTGACCTTTTCTAATACAAAATAGAACATAGTACATCAAATACACCACAACATGAACGAAACAAAAATGTGTAACAAAGACAAAACAAATCTATCCCTTGAAACGTTTGCACATCAAATAACATTTATCATTACGCAACGCGGAAATACTTGATGATGTTTTGCCACTTTGCCATCATATGGAAACGTTGTATCATCCGCTCAATCTGACTTGCGTGCACAGGACAAATAAGCATTTTTCCATGAAAAAGTGAAGTTTTCTAAAATGTGCGTTTCTTTCCAGCATTGGGGCGCCCGGAAGTCACTCGGGTAACATTTCATAAAGTATAATATAAAAAGACCATATGCAAATTGTCTGTACTTTCGTCAAAAAAAAAATACAATATCCAGCACAATGTCGTCTCTTTTTGCGTTGAAGAATAACAAATAGCGAGTTTCAATCACACTTTTGCCGCTCTCGCAAGCTCTCACTCGTTTCACTGTGGTCAAGCGACTTTGGGGCTAGCGGTTAATGAAAATACTAATCGTTAGCTTTCTTCTGGTATTAAACTTGTTTTGTTTGATTGTATAATTATGTCGGAATAAAGGAAACAAAACGGCTCGACCAATAACTTATCAGCGTCTGAATTGACCTTTTAACCTTGAATTCCCTGATGCAAGCGCACTAATGAGTCATCTTCGCTAAATCGGTGTCTTTTATCGTAAAATGCGACACTTTCACAATGTTTATACATCTTTTTTAATTATTAGTAAGATATAACATATTTTTTTCTGATATCACTGAAGTTTTGGGTTTTATTTAATGAGTAATTTTAAAATAAGAGCCATTTTACTGTTTTAATTTACTGGATCGTACCATTAAAGTGGCAGGGTAGAAAGATCCATTTCCAACAGCGCCAAATTTAATTTACGTTCCGACATTCTGTTGAATGGGTTCGTGTTGTTAAGAATCCACTGCTTTCTGCTCCAACCAACGTTCACATGCGGAGTCGTTTATCAACTAAATTATTCAAATTTATGGATGCTTCCTAGCTGCCCAGGTGTTTGTGTTGCTGTTGAAGCATTTTATTCACCTGCTATCATTCTTTGTACTCCAATTGCCAGAACGCAATTTTCATTTTGGTTTTATAGTTTCATCGGAGTCGTTTATCAACTATATGTATTCAAATTTATAAATGCTTCCTCCCCAGGTGTTTGTGATGTTTAATGCATTTCATTCACCTGTTATTATTCTTTGTACTCCCATTGTTAGAATACAAAATGCATTTTGGTTTTATAGTTTCATGCAATAAGTAAGTCAAAAAAAGAGTACGTTCTGCACGATAAAAACAATGTGTATCCCCAGGGGTGTACGGAGGGGGAGGGGGGGTTGGGGGTTCAAACCCCCCTTTGGTATTTGTATGTATGTAAACCCCCCTAAAAAAACCTAAACCCCCCCCTTTGTTTTTTGTTTTTTTTATTAAAAAAAAAAAAAAAAAAAAAAGTATACCCACGGCTAACCTAAATAAGGTGACCTTACCCCCCACCCCCCTCAACGAAGAAAAATGTCAAATTTTGAAATTTCGAGACCAAAAAAAAAAAAAAAAAGTGTCCGCTTACCCCCCCCCCCCCCCCCCCCCCGATTTTCAAATTTTCGGGAGCAAAATATTTTAAACCCCCCCCCCCTTTAAAAAATCCTGCGTACGCCCCTGTGTATCCCTATTGTACAATGTGATGTGTCCCCTCATTTTGTAATAGTTAATTCACCCATTCACATAATGGAACTCCCTGCGCGATGAAGCCAGTGGCCTGTGACCCCTGAGCACTCAACACCGTGTGGGAGTCAGTTTGTGGTCAAATTCTTTTATGAGACAAATACAAGGAAACGTTTCCATATGATGCTTCTTAAATTAGTTTTTCTTTTTTGCAATATCTTCTTCAGTGGATCTATAAGACAAAATATAATTATTAAATTGTTTCAAACTAGGCATACTCTCTTGATATTTACAACATCAAATGAACTGTTTACCAAGTAAAGTAAGAAAATCAAAAGCTGAGGTGGCTTGCCTTTTTCGTTTAGTAATTCCAAATAAACTGATTTTGCCTGTAAGAAAATGAACGGGATTAAAATCCTTCACTCTTTTGCGTAGCCTATTCCAAAAGGCTGCAATATAAGGACATGTGAAAATAAATGATCCATTGTCTCGGGTGTCGCATTGCAAAAAGAGCGCAGTGAGCTATTTTTCCTTCCTATACGTGCCTGCCATTCATTAGTTGGTATTGGTTATTTATTAGTTGGTATTAGGTTATTCAAAATTTTAAAGCGCGTAATTCGGAGTCTGGAGTTAATTGTAACATTTGCTGAAAGAGTGAAAAGATTTGACACTTGTTGCTCATTTCTGGTTATTAAGTCTTAGAAAAGTTAGATAAAGTTGCTTCGTCATTATGTTATGGATTTGTTTGAATTCGGAATCACAGATAGCAGTAAAAAAAATATCTTAAATCTTTAACGAGATGGTGATAGTTTTGCTGCAAAAAGAAATGCTTCCATGCTCCTGTTTAAAAAAAAACAATCTAACGATACAAAATACTCAGTGAGTTGTAGTCCCTATTCTTTAAAGTCTTTTCATCGCAGTGGACGTCCAAATTCATATCTGCAACTTTTACAAAACCTTTTTCGTTTATTTCTGGTTTAAATATAGATTTTCCGTTTAATATGATAGTTTTGTTATTCCAAATACATTAGTTAGCCTTATCGGTTTTTTATTCAAAAAATGTCCCTGAACCATTTTGACACTTCATTGTTTAAATATTTCATATCAAAATTACAATAAAAAATATATTTTTCGCCAACGGGTGACAATAGTTCTAAGCATATGTTTTTCCAACCTATAGAATTTGACGTGAATAGTCTTGTAGCCCATTCAATTTTCTGAGCTTGAAGAGTCGATTTTAATACAAGTCATCTTTAAACCTCCCTCATTGTACTCCTTTACCAAGACTTCACGTTTTATTCTATCTGGGCCCCCCATACGAATTTGTATAGTACCGTGTAAACCTTATGAATAAATGCCTCGGGAAATGGACACAATGCTGGCTACATACAACAGCTGGGAAATAGCAACAATGTTAATTATTTGAATTTTTCCATATAGTGACAGATTCCTGGCTTTTCATAAGTTTAGTTAAGATTTGATAACATTTTTTGGAGTTGTGCAATTCTATTTTCAAAAGAGTAGGAGATATCGTTTCCGAGAATTGTCAAAACATTATCAAACTTTATATTTATTTGAATAGCTGAGTTTTGTACGTTAAAGTGTCCTATAAACATTTTCTTCGTCTTTTTGTAATTTAGTGAAGATGACGAACAAATTTGAAAATCATAAAGCATAGCCGTTAAATAAGAATATGATTCGAAATTGAATAAAAACCTGCTAGGTCGTCTGCGTACATAGATAATTTAATTTCGTCAATATTGTTTAACCTGATGCCCTGGATATTTTGGTTTATCCTACATTTATTGCCAGAGTTTATATAGCTAAAATAAAGAGGTACGGAGAAAGGGGGTCCCCTTTTCTTACTCTTTTTCCTACTGGATAAAATCCAGTTGAAATGCTATCGTTCATTAATCATTACGCAGCTTTCCATGTCTTTGCAAAGAACATTTACAAAATTGCAACAATTATTTCCGAAATTGAAATATTTCAACACTTCTATTAGAAATTGATGATTTAGAGTTTACATTAAGACACATGTTTTGTAGTAAACTTTGCCCCATTTGTTACTTACCACAATGCCCTCCAGTCCAACAGATTGATAGAAGGGCCAGAAGCAAAATAGTTGTGTCTTGTTCCATTGCTGAGGGCTGATGCCGCCAATAAAAACGCTCGAAATTATCAAATAGTAAACACCGTAAAACAAGCAGTGAGGCATATAGACTAGGCTGTCTTAGAAATGATCTGACCATCCATCTGAGGAGCTTCAATAATTCATTAACAGTAAATGTAAATTATATTATATAACGGATATAAAGATACCAATCATCTGATTGGTTACAGCTACAGGTATGAAATTCACTATTATATAAAGGTGGGTTCTAGAATCGAAGAAATCCGATTGGTCAATTGACATCAAGTGGGCGTGCATTTATTTTTTCCCACCGTGCAAAACATCTCCCATCAAAAAATGATATCGCTTTTGCGTAATTCAATCTCAATATGCGGGCGACAGCTGTACTAATGCAAGGACGCAAAGTTAACAACGAAAGCGCGCTTTTCATCAATGGACATTTCAAAATACATTTTGAACGGTTTTTTGTTTTACTTTTCGAACCGACGTGTCAGCCGTAACGCGACCCCCTTATCGGTCACCGTGCGCGCATATCATGCATTCGATCGTGCGCGCATTCATTCGTACGTACGTACACACGGTTTAGAAAACGTATTGCATTGTCCTAAAAAAAACGCTTAAAATTCGACCATAATTATGAGCTTCAATGTTGACTTTGGATTAGTTATTCTGCATTTGTGATCATTTCTATTTTGGTCATTTTAATCGTATTTAGGTCTAGATCTAGACCTCTAGACCCTAGTGCATCTTAGGATGTTCTGGATGTTTTGACACCATACTCATAGATGTCTAGATCTAGACTAGGCAGTAGGCTAGGCGCGCCTAATCATACTCATCATAGGCCTAGCCTAGGTCTAGACTAGACAAGGGCAGAAATTGTAGAATTAGATCTAGATGCTACCCAAAACTCTAGTACTAGGTCTAGAGTTCCGGCTTAATACGCTCGTTGGCTCTTAATTAGACTAATCCATGATTGTCTTATAAATAGAGATTTAGCTCTAGATCTAGGCCTACAGGTCTAGGAATTACTCTGAACTCTTATCCAACCTTACAATTTTATTTTAACTCGCCTTTGTTTAGATCGTTGGCGTTGGGACGCAATTCGAAAATGTTTATTGCACTCACAGTTTCAAAACTACGTGAGCTTTACGTTAAACTAAAGGTATGGGCCTACTATATTTGTTTTCATCTGCAACAAAGTGATACGTGTTGATTTAGATCCTACTTTGGTATTTTTTTAGTTTCAAGGATTGTCGTACTATATAAATCACACAATCTTATATAAAATACAACATCTGAAGACTTAGAAAATATTAGGCATAAAGATTCAATAAGCAAATGAAGTATCCAAATTAATGTTCAAACTTGCCGAATGCATAAATTCGCAAGGCCAACTTTCATCATCCGCACGCGATGTGTGTGTTGGAGTCAGCGAGCTAGCAATTGCAAATCGCTGTTTGTTTGCCTATTTAAAAACGACAGCGATGCAAAAAAATCATTGTCGCCATGATTGTGAAAGGTTTTTTTCTTCCACAAGAGGTCTCTCCGGTCTCATTATTTACAATAATTCGTCGTAATGCCTTTTAATGGTGTCTTCTTCTTCTCTGAATATCCAACAAATAGGTAGACCTGACTTAAGCCAGACTTAAACTAGGGCGGGTACCCCATGTTTAAATATGTGTACAATTTCCACAGAGTTAGACCAAGCTTATATCTAGGTTTAAGTTAAACCTGACTTCAGAAACGCAATGTTAAACCTAGGTTTAAATCTGAGAGTTCGGCGAGGCTTAGACTAGACTTAAACCTAGGTTTAAATACGGGCAATTGCCTTTATTTTTTTGTTTTTGTTGAAATAAATCTTTATTCAGATAAAATCATGGAAAACATAATAGTACATAAATATGCATAACAAAGCACTAAATCACATGTCTTAATGAGGTCAAATCAAATTATATCTCTATTTATTTGATAGCAGATTTTAAATTAGTAATTGTCTTCTTCCACTTAATAATATTAAAATTCGTTGTCTTAGTTTTGTTTTTCTCTATAAATCATTCTTCTGTTACGTAATATGTCATTGTCATGTTCACACATTTTCTCAAGTAACGCTGATCCTTGAAAGTCTCTGCGATCGTGTTTATGGCTTTTAGTCTTAACATTAATAATTTAAATAATCAACAAATTTCATTTCTGTAATTAATCTTATTGCCACGTTCGGAATAAACTAGAATAATCCATTTTTTTAAAACTTAGTCCGACTTGGACTTTATTTACATCTATCTGCCTAAAAGGCTTACATGAATGTTGAACTATTTGCATTTAAAAGCCATCGAAGAACTATTGAATACATGGCAAGGTTGGTAGTAGTCTGTTTGGTTAAGAATTATAACCAAATTATTCCACTTTTTGCATATTAAAGAGGAATGTTCTTGACACTTCAAGTGGTATCTGTCATAACTGGTCAATGATCCACAACCAGCAACTTTTATCAGTTTCGACTGTCTACTGTCTGTTTTTCTCCTTCATTTTGTTAAAACTACATTATCTCTCTGCTCGTATTCAGTTATCATTTCTTAAGTATTTAGTATTCACGACGTATAATAGCTGAATTTTAGAGTTGTTGAGATTTCTTTTCTTTATTCTTGCTTCATATAGTGTCAGATTTACTGGTATAGTTTACAAAATAATAATAGCATGTCTCTGTTTTAAGAATATTAAGAAAGAAGGTGTGGTGTTTAACAAATAATATATATATTGATAGGAAATGGAAATTGCGTATTTTGAACTGAGTTACTGTTATTATTTGTTTCAGAAATGTTAAAGGAGAATGATATAATTATTGAATCAATAGAATAATTTACAAATAAATTAAGAAAAAAATGACTGCTATTTTAAAGCATTAAGATTACAAGAGTTTGACATTGTACGTGAGTGTGTGTGTGCGTTGATGTGTGTGCTGTGTTTGCGTGTGTGTGTGTGAGTTTCAGGTCAATTGTGTGCCAATTGCATAGGAATTCACTGAAATTTAAAACGATAACACCATCACCACTGCAACATTGTGGGTAAGATCCTAACTTAAAACACAGCTTTCACTTAAAAAATAACACATGTTATAAATTACAAATTACGATACAGGAATAATTTGTGCTAGAAAATATCATATCATATAATACCATACTAATACCAAATTTGACTGTAAAAATCATGACTGACAGGACACAGAAGGGGATTTAAAGCGCATGAGAGGAGAGCGAGGACAGAAAAGAGGGAGTGGATAGCGCGCGGTATATATAAAGAGAGCGAAGGACAGAGAGAAAGAGAGAAAGTGAGAAAGCAAAAGAGAGAGAGAGAGAAACAGAAAGGACAGAGGGGAATAGAGATAAAGCGAGAGAGAAGGGGGAGGTAGAGAAAACAATTTAAATGTAATCGTAAATTTTAATCTCGGATCTAATTGTGAGCTTTAACAACGTTTCGCAGTTTGTTCCATATCAATTTCTTGTGTGCAGTGTCATTGGTAGTAGTGTCATACGTAGTAGTAAATATTGATGTTCACATATCAAGGCGTTGACTTTAGTTCGGAAGGGGCATCTGTAAGTATCGTCTGCAGGGAACGAAAAGGGCGATATCTCAATTAACATGATTGAAAACTAGAGCAGGTAGCGCATTAAAGAAGACCAAAACTTGTTGTTAATAATGTTGGGCAATGGGTTCCATGATTTCTAACCAAATGATTTCAAATATCAACCACTCATAACGGGATAGTTGAGTTCTGTTGCAGAGGGCGCTATACAAAAAAAATACATAGTGAGATAATGAAAAACTGAGTGTCAAATTTGAAAGAACATACAATTTAAATGACAAAATCATCTTTGTTTGATCAAAATAGGTCACCGTATTTTTTTCGAAGTGGAGCTGAATTGGTATGATCGCATTAGCTAAATCTCACACATTTTGGGGTCTAAAATTACCTTCATAGCAATTTTAGGTTCTAAAATGGCACTAGAAATGTCATAGATAAGAATGAGAGAAGTAACCATGTACTTTGAAGGCATTTGCGGTCTGAAAACAGAACTCAACTATCCCTATAAGGGTTGTTTGCTGAATGCCAAAAAGGCGAGTTCCATCTGACGGACTATATTTTGAAAGTGAATTGGCTCGCATATATTATCATCCTACACTTGTACTCCCATAGACCTTGAAGCTAGGGTTCAATTCCAATGCTAGATCCTGTATCCCGCACTGGACCGTGTTCGTGTAGTGGCCCAAGAAGATCATTCCAGTTAATTTTAATTATTTATCCTCAAATGTATATGTATATAAAATGTATGCATAAAATGTATGAAATAGTATAATATTGTTTAGTAGTCGCTCAATGCAGAGCAAATCTATTTCATTTTATACACATTACATGAACAATGACAAGATAATCACAATGACATAAGCGTAATGATATAACACAACATGAGCATGGAAATATCTTCGACATTGTTTTTTGTTTTTTTAATCTTGCAATACGAATTATTTAGTTACCAGAAATGAAAAACGAAACTTCTAGGAAGCAATACTTGTTTGCTTTAATTTCGCACAATAATAATTAAAACTGTTTACATTCACAAATAACCTTCTTGTTATTGGTAGGTGATAAGAGCTAGCTTATCTTGTGGGATAACTATGGAATTCAGTATTTTTGTTTCATATATTGGAGAGAATTTGAGGCATGTCATTTGTCTGAAGTGTGTCCATAAATATTACAAGGTCATAGGAAAATAAGTCGTGTATCTTCGAAACATTATTTGCGTGAAAGAGTTCGTGAGTATGAGCGAGGAAATTTATGTGACATATAATTCGCATTGCTTTCCTTTGTAACATTAAAATTCTACCGAGTTCAGTATTTCCATAGGTGTCCTATGAAAGGATTTCATAATGCAAGTAAGGAAGTACTATTACAGTCGAGTACAAATTAAGCATTATACGAGATGGAAATTACAGTGCGTATCAAAAAAGGTGTACCTAGTTTTAGTAGCTTTTAATTAAAAAGTTAAAACCTCTGCGACCTTGAATCATATTTCATTGTAAAGAAAAACTAATACTCTGTCTAATTACACCATTTTCATAATTGTGCTGCCAAGGATGACTGAACGGCAGGCTTTTCAAAGAAGTATTTACAAAATCATCTTAGTTTAGGCTAAAGGAATACATGTGCGTCAAGACCCATTATGTTTGTGTTATCTTGTTCCAACACAATTGCTCTCTTTTTTTCATTGACTATTAGGCAGTAAGGAAAAAGTGATTACATCAACTCAACCTCAAAGAAATGATTATTACAAGTAAAATTTATGAAATTCTCTTCGTTATGGTGATTAAAGTTTTGCCTTCATTTACATCCCTTAAAGGTAAACTTCTCATTGAGTGATAGCAAATGGAAAAGGTTTATCAAGGATGTTACCTTATATTTAATGAATGTCTTTCGTCAATTTCTTCGGTGTTTACCATCGTAAATGTTCTTTCTTGCATTGGGTATAAAAGTAACCTTTGACTTTTCGATCGGTATTCGATTCGATACCTTATGCTCCTTACGCGTATGAAATGGCGCAGTGGACAAGTGAGCAGAGAGAACTAATGCTAGGAGTACACTGGGCCAGCGCCAGAGTTGGTGCCAGTTCGCGCCAAACATTATGTGATTGGCGCGAAGTGGCTCGCTGTGGCGCCGAATTAATGTCCGCTCGGCATGTATCGCCAAGTGGAATAATCTGGGTGCCATATGCCGTGCACCAAATGCCACCCGGCTTGCTCCAAAAAATGTTGCGCCAGTTTGCGCCAGTTCGCGCCATTACACGGCCATTTGATTCCAAAATTCACCCTGTTGGCGCCATTCGCGCCAATAGACGTCTACTTTGCGCCACGTGGTAATTAGTTTGTGCCAAAGGTCGCCAAATTGGTTTGAACTTGCCGCCGCTTGGCGCTACTTGCCGACTATACAAATACCGGCCATCGGCTACCTGGTTCAGACCCTCCTCAGCTGCTGTATGAACAACATCTCTACTAAATATTTACAATTTTGATAGGCGGCAAGTGGCGCCGAATTGCGGGCAACCAGGTGGCATTTGGCGCGAAGTAGTCACCAATCGGTTGCCGTTCGGCTCGCGCCACTCCACATTTAGCGCGCCACTTGGCGCGAAATCTCAATGGGGCAACTTGACGCGCGCCATTATGCTAGGAGTCCACTGGGCCAGCGCCAGTTGGTGCCAGTTCGCGCCAAAGATTATGTGATTGGCGCGTAGTGGCTCGCTGTGGCGCCGAATTAATGTCCGCACGGCATGTGTCGCCAAGTGGAATAAACTGGGTGCCATATGCCGTGCGCCAAATGCCACCCGGCTTGCTCCAAAATGTTGCGCCAGTTTGCGCTAGTTCGCGCTATTACACGGCCATTTGATTCCAAAATTCACCCTGTTGTCGGCTACTTTGCGCCACTTGGTGATTAGTTTGTGCCAAAGGTCGCCAAATTGGTTTGAACTTGCCGCCGCTCGGCGCTACTTGCCGACTATATAAATACCGACCATCGGCTACCTGGTTCAGACCCTCCTCATCTGCTGTGACCTACATCTCTACTAAATATTCACAATTGTGATATGTCTGAGGCTTTTGATAATGTTGGAGTGATGATGCAGCTCAATCAGAAGATGATGAGAGATGCTGAGATGATGGCGCCAAGTGGCGCCATGTGGCGCCATGGGGCGCGAAATCTCATTGGCGCAACTTGGCGCGCGCCATTACATTCCTGTGCATTCCAATAGGCGGATTGTTTGCGCCAAGGGGCGATATGTTCGGGCCATTTGGTGCCACTTGGCGGACACTTGGCGCTGATTGCTCAATGCAAGTGGCGCGACGAAAATTTCAAACATTTTGAAATTTTCTTGCCGCCACATTCAAATTTGGTGCCGTTACGGGCCACCACGAGCCAGTTGGGAGGCAGTTTGAGCCACTACACGCAACTAGGCACCACAGTAAATTGCATTGGCGCAAACTGGCACCAACTGGCGCTGGCCCAGTGGACTCCTAGCATAAGATATCATGATACAATAAATTAGTAGGCTGTTTAAAATAAATAAAGGTTATCCTGTCGATTGAAACAAGCTTCTGTGAAAACCTAGTTACATCATTTTGAACAATGAAGCTCTGAAGCACAAAGCACAATTTAACTTTTGGTATTATATGGCCTCACTTTAAAACATTGGTCCCTAAAGCACAAACTTCGAACAAGACGATTTTGTCAACACTTTTCACCCGTGGCAGAAATTATTATGAATAGGGTATCATTGGACAGAAAATAGGTTACTTTTTATCATGAAAACAATTCCAAAGTCATATTGGTTATGAATGTTCAATTAGGAGCCACCAAAGTAGGGTAAACTTGTTATTGATACGCTCTGTACAATTTTACTTTGTTCAAAATACAAATATTTCAAGAGATTATTTTACAAACATTATGAACATGCAATTTCCATTTAAGTTTATCACCTATTTCCTGGTCAGTTATCAATAATATTAATAAAGAGCATAAACTTTTTTTGTGTGTAAATTCAATGACAATTTATTTGCCTTGATCCAGTCAGCATCTACTCGTAATTGATAGCTCATTGTTATCAGTTAAATTTCTGGGTTTGATGAGAACCAAAAATGTTAGAGTCGTCACCAAACAAAAGGAAGGGCAGGGTTGTTGAGGACATGTAAAAGTCATCAATACGTACAATAAAAAGTAATGGACCTAACTAGAACCTTGAGGCACACCACATTCAATGGTCTTTATTAAAGAATGTGCATCATCTAGGAGTCATATTGCTTTCTACTGTGGAGGTAGTTCTTAAACCAATCCAAGGCTATTCCTCTGATTCTGTAGTTAGACATTTTGTATTTTGTTTTCGTGATTTATCGTGTCAAAGGCCTTCCAGAAATCCAAGAAAAAAAAAACCGTATGGACGAAATTGTTAATAGAGCGAAGCACCTTATTTACTTAGAGTCAAAAGGGCATGTGTTGTAATGTGCTTTTACGGAAGCCAAACTGTGACATATAGGACATATTACTAGTAAATAGTTATACATTTACAACTAAAAGCCATGCATATAAACATTACCTGTTTAATTTGATAATTTATACCTCATCTGTTTATTGCATATTGTCAGGAAAGAAATTTATTTGTTTCGCTCTCTGGTCTGGAGTGTTCTTTGTTAAGGTCAGGTGAAGATATTAAGGTCAGATGTTTTCTTTTCAGGCCAAGATGTATTGTTCCTTATGAATAGGCCTGGGGAAGTCATTAATTCAGTGTACATATTTTATTTGTTGTTTGGCACACATTTAGGAAGCCTCTTTTCAATACAAATATTTTCCTTTGTAAGATCATTTCCTCTCCAAATATTTGTAGTCATGTTTTTAGAATTTACTTAGTAACCGTAGGGTATATTAAGAGGTGGATTTTCTGCAATCGAGGAGAACCACCTAAGCTATAATAGACTTAACGACATGTTAGAAGTCGGCAATTAAAGTCAATATCTGAGGGTAATTCCACGTCGGGACGAGAGGCTAGCTCAACTGCCACCCGGTTCTCCATAGCTTTCGTCGGGGGCTAGCTCTTGTCTGGGATCGGGACGCACACCATCGTATCTCAGTCTGCGGAGGTCAAGAATACGGGGCGACTACCGGGGCCAAGTGGAGCAAAGACGCTGTCTGCGGAGGCCAGGGCCAAGTGGACGACACGAGATGTGACCGGCGTCGATGTCAGACGGGAATCTACCCATCCAGAATTATTTTGTTAAAGATAAGTTTAATTACATACTGTATTATTACTGAAGCCAAAACAAAGTGTGTGAAACAGGAAAAATGATTGGAAATTAAACGTTACAATTTAACTTTAATTAACAAGCTCTATTTCCCTTTATTTTTGTGTGTCCGTAGCAATAATAAAAAATAAAAAAAAGTCTCTCACGTGACAATTTGGAGGTCCCACCGAGACCTTGCTACTTATAAATAATTTCAAGACGGGAATTGGATATTTCTCCCCCTCTTTTCCCCGCATACGAATTTGATGTTTAATTGATGTTTGGGGTTGAAATATAGGTTAAAAGAAATTATCAATGCTAGGTTGATAAAAGCAATAATGTCAAGAGTTAATGCAATCTTATAATCTCACTGAGGAGGGGTATAGGCGTAGTTTCAGATCTGTTAGGCCTTTGAACTTTGAACGCCCAAAACAGTTTGCTAATCGGATGAAAGGTCATTTTGATAATTGGATAGGAGCGTCTAAGATAGACAATAGTAGGGCTGCTCTTGAGGATCTGATGTTGCGAGAGCAATTTTTGATTGATTGTCCAAGAGAGGTTGCTAGGTTCATCAGGGAACGGAAATGCACGAAGTTTGACGAGGCAGTGGAGTGTGCAGAGGTTTATGTTAGTGCACACGGACCTCATGTTTTCTTTGGTGGAGAGAAATCCGAAAGAAGCCGATCAGATCCGAAGGGGGGTAGTAAGGGCCCTAATCAAATAGGTAAGACTAATGCGAAATTGTGCGAGGTTCAAGCCAGGGCAAAGAAAGTGGAAGGTGGTAAGCCCTTCCAAAAGAAGGGGTGTTATATGTGTGGGAATCCCAATCACATGAAGAGGGAGTGTCCCCTGTTATTGAAGTCTATGGCGGCTCAGGGTATGATGTTGTTAGGGGGTAATGAAGTCCCCGGGGTATATGCTGTTCATAATGAGCCTAATGAGGGTGAGATTGAATCTGAGGCCGTAGAGTTGACAGCAGCTTGCATTGCCGAGTCGGTGGTCGATAGTGAAGTCATTGAAAAAGTTGGAATGGCTTACGATGATATTGAAGCGATGGTCAATGATATGCCTGTCGTGTCTGGGAGGTTGATGCCTGGGAATGTTCCCGTTTCCGTGCTACGCGGTTCAGGTTGTAGTACTTGTGTTGTGAAAGAAGCGTTAGTTAGGAAAGAGCAATTCACAGGTCGTCATGTTAGAGTCAGGTTAATTGATGAAACGATAAGGCGTTTCCCCTTGGCAAGAATCGTTGTCGATTCGCCTTATTTCGAAGGAGAGGTGGTGGCAGTGTGTATGCCTAGATGTTTGAATGACGTAATCATTGGTAATGTGAGAGGGGCTCGTCCACCAAAAGAGCCTAATTTCCATTGGGTTCCTAAGGCTGACATAGAGGTCACGCCGGAGGTCGTGCCGGAGGTCACTGGTTTGGAAGATTCGAAGTTGGATAGAGAATTTTCAGATGAGTTGAAGTCTACCGCTGAGGGCGTTTGTTCTGATGAGGGCGGTATTAGATTACAAGCTGTTCAGACTAGGGCAAAGATTTAAGTTGAAAGATTCCAAGCCTAGTAAGGGTTTGCCGGTGGCTGACCCAGTTGCTAATATTCAGTCAAATCACTTTCTGCAAGAGCAAAAAGATGACGTACCATTGCGCCCTCTGTGGCAAAAGGTTGATAATGTTGACAAGTCGCAATTCATGTTTTTGCGTGAGCAAGGTTTTCTCTTTAGGCAGAGAAAGGATGTCAATGCTAAGGGTATAGGCCCTAAATTACTTGTAGTGCCTAAGCCTCGTAGAGAAGAGCTAATGCGAGTTGCACACGATTCTCTTTTAGGTGGACATATGGGTATTAATAATACGCTGTCAAAACTCAAGGCGCAGTTTTATTGGCCTGGGATGTCGGAAGATGTTGCCAATTTCTGCAGATCATGTGATGTCTGTCAAAAGACTGTTGATAAAGGGCGGGTGCCGAAGGCTAGTCTTGGTCGAATACCACTTATTGGTGTTCCATTTCAGCGGATTGCTATTGATCTTATGGGTCCATTCATACCTTCTGCCCGTAAGCATACCATAGTGGATTATGCTACAAGGTATGTCGAGGCGATCCCGTTGAAGTTTATCGACTGTCGATGTGGCTGAGGCCCTTGTTTCGGTCTATAGAAGAGTTGGTATTCCAGCAGAGGTCTTGTCGGACTTGGGTACGCAGTTCGTATCGGATTTGATGCGTGAAGTTTGTAGATTGTTGTCGGTCAAACAATTGAGGAGGGGTATAGGATGAGCAGACTATTGTAAAATATAGTGAAATTGTTGTAAAAGGCGAATAACCAAACAAGGACAAATTATAATGGTCCATTTTATTTGTATGTGTTTATGCTGTATAGCAAATGACTAATGAAGCTTTCTCATTTCTTTCAGGAAAACGGGAACCAGCAAATCGCGGTCGCCGTTATGTTTAGTTGGTTAAGCTTTAGTTACCTTAAGGAAACATTGTCTGTTAGTGCTTAGTTGTAAATTAGTATAGGTTAGTTTAGGGCCGTTAGGATTAAGTTAGGTTGCTTTAAGATTGTGAACGTAGTTTAAGAAACAAGCTTCATGATTTTATGCGTTGTCGTAGATGTAAAAAAAAAAGAAGATGTAAACAATTTGTTAAAAAAAAAAACAATGAAGTTATTTTAATGGATGAAAAAAATACATATACCATAATCAAGACAAGCATGAAAAGTTGTTATCGGTTGAATGTTATATGCAAGAAATGAATCAATATAGTGCATTTCAGATGACAGTTTGGTTATAGTGAATATAGAAAAGTTGCTTAATAACTGCAAAAGTACATTCAGAGTGCAAACATAGATTGAGCAATCTGAATTTATATTGCCTGTTTCATAATCTCTTGTCTTTTAATATGCTTATATTTTTAAAGAAAATGATCAAACAAAATAATGATATATATTTCATACCAGGTGTATGATTTCCTAATCATATTCAAAAGAAAATGCGAGCCATGTTTTTCATGGAGAGACAGAACTCATAGCATAACAGTCAAACTTGCTTGTAACACGGTTTTGGATGCTGTGGTTTATAGTTCTTTGGTTTTTATACATACATGTACTGTAAAAAAAAAAGAGAATTGAATCATTAGTGTTTCCTGTAGGTTATGTATGTTATATTCTTATTCTTAAAAAGCTTTTCAAATAAATGTTTTTATAGTGGATATCAGTTAGATCCCCTAATTATATCTTGAGGTGGGGGATATTGTCAGAAAAGAAATTTATTTTTTTCGCTCTCTGTTCTGGAGTGTTCTTTGTTAAGGTCAGGTGAAGATATTAAGGTCAGATGTTTTCTTTTCAGGCCAAGATGTATTGTTCCTTATGAATAGGCCTGGGGGAGTCATTAATTCAGTGTACATATTTTATCTGTTGTTTGGCACACATTTAGGAAGCCTCTTTTCAATACAAATATTTTTCTTTGTAAGATCATTTCCTCTCCAAATATTTGTAGTCATGTTTTTAGAATTTACTTAGTAACCGTAGGGTATATTAAGAGGTGGATTTTCTGCAATCGAGGAGAACCACCTAAGCTATAATAGACTTAACGTCATGTTAGAAGTCGGCAATTAAAGTCAATATCTGAGGGTAATTCCACGTCGGGACGAGAGGCTAGCTCAACTGCCACCCGGTTCTCCATAGCTTTCGTCGGGGGCTAGCTCTTGTCTGGGATCGGGACGCACACCATCGTATCTCAGTCTGCGGAGGTCAAGAATACGGGGCGACTACCGGGGCCAAGTGGAGCAAAGACGCTGTCTGCGGAGGCCAGGGCCAAGTGGACGACACGAGCTGTGACCGGCGTCGATGTCAGACGGGAAACTACCCATCCAGAATTATTTTGTTAAAGATAAGTTTAATTACATACTGTATTATTACTGAAGCCAAAACAAAGTGTGTGAAACAGGAGAAATGATTGGAAATTAAACGTTACAATTTAACTTTAATTAACAAGCTCTATTTCCCTTTATTTTTGTGTGTCCGTAGCAATAATAAAAAATAAAAAAAGTCTCTCACGTGACACATCTGTAGTTCATAATCATTTTGTAAACTAAATATGTGAAACCTATGTCCCGGATCTGCTCTCTCTATTGAAGGATTTTTTTCTCGGTTCTGCATCATATTTAAATCTTTAGAGTTTAAATGTGAGGTAGAATTGAGAACAGATTGATTCCTGATAAACTAAGTATAATATTACTAATCCATATGTTACTATTAAGACATCAAATACGTTGCCAAGTAGTGCAGTGATTCCGTAACAAAGTGTTTCATCAAAGGGTTCCATAATTGTTAATGTACTTTATATGGTTAAGGTGCTCAAAATGTGCGAGCTTGTCATAATGAAAGATAATCATTTAGTAAACGCTTTAGGATCTCATCATCATTCATTCTTATGTTATGCATTTCATGTTAACCTATCATTATCTCCTCACATTCCATTCTCGTTTCATATCAAGTTCACTACCACCATCATACTAGTACGACACAGAAACTTTACATGCAACCCAGTTAGTATACCTTTAATCAAATAAATTGGTAATAATGATTAATATTCATGAATAATGATGTAAAACTGTTATCCATTTTCAATACAACAATGTATCTTCTGATGAATTTAGTTTTCACAAAGCACACCATAAATCTACTTTACTTTTAATACGTAAATGGTACAAGTTAAGGCAAAAATGTTGATTCTTTGCAAACATTGCTGCATACTCTTTATAATGTTCCCTTTTTCATTATTGGTGTCACTGAAACTTTGGTTCATAACACTTCGCGTACTTTATTTCACTTGCAAAATCTTACATTGATCAGACTATGGCCATGTATTATAAAGCCTTGTGATTGACCGTACGGTTGCTATGGAGCGTAAGTCTATGGCTTATCGTGTATTGATTAATTTAATATCAGTCATAACTCTTTATAATACGTGACCTAGATCTTGAAGAAATACAATGAGGTGGTGTCGCATGTTATGTCAATGAACATTTACAATTTAAATCCGAAAAGAACTATCGTTAAAACGAAGTGAATCATTATGTTTAGAAATCATTAATCCAAACAACACACATAATAATCGTTGGATTAGTTTATACACCTCCTCATGGTCATACAGATTTATTTTGTGAAGATCTTGATAAATTCTTTCATACTCTTACTGGAGAAAGTAAACACTTATACTTAATTGGTGACTTCAATATTGACCTGTTATCTAATTGTAGCTACCAGGATACATTTGGTTATCCACATATAAATACACCAACCAGAATTGATAGTCAATTTTCAACCCATATAGACAATATTTTGTTCATATATCTTTGGTAAAAATATTACCAGTGGATTAATATATTCTGATATATCTGATCATTTGTCAATTTGTAATTGTGTCATAATAATGACATTTCAATGAAAAAGCCAGCCTAATAAAACATGTACAGAAAACTCCACCCTAATATAGTGTATCATTACAAAGAATGGTTGGATGTCTCTGATGAATCAAATGCAGGTATGGCATACACAAAAAAAAAAATCAAACGAAAAAAAAAATCAAAATTACCGACATATTTTGACTAAAATGTTGTTTTAGTATCAGCTAACAAGAAAAATAAGCGTCGTAAAATGCAATGGATAACAAAAGAAATTATACGGTAGATACACACAATGAATAAACTGTACAAGGTTAATCAAAATGAACTCTACCATTCATATAAACAAAAATATATACAACATACCGAATTATATTAAATTAATTATAAATAATTTGATTGGAAAGAAGAAAAAAATGCCCAATTGAGAATTTGCAATAGTTGATACAGTTATAAAGTCTGAAGATATATCCGGTACCATTAATTCCCATTTGTAAATATAGGACCCAATTTATCAAATAAACTTGATACACCCAATGAAAATTTACTACCCTAAATATATTATTTATTACGGATATAGTATCGAAAATAAACCGCTAGTGACATTCGTTTGTCTCACAATGTATTGTCAACAAGGGATCTAAAAGATCACGACGTTTCGTGTGCCGCCGCTACAATTCGTCAGGTAATAACATATATTGTAAGCAAGCGTCTTTTATACTCTACGGATGGACCGGGTTGACCGGCGGTCGAATAGTTAGAACAATAACGGACCATGCCTATTGGTCGAGTAGCCAATGTTCTCCCCGGGCAGGCGAGCCGAGGCGACGGCCTGTTGATTGGTTGAGCACCCGTGTGCTTTGATCAATTGGCTTTGTCTGTTATTGTTTTAATTATTGACAGCCGCTCCACGCGGTCCATCCCTAGAGTATAATGCTAGGAGTCCACTGGGCCAGCGCCAGTTGGTGCCAGTTTGCGCCAAAGATTATGTGATTGGCGCGTAGTGGCTCGCTGTGGCGCCGAATTAATGTCCGCTCGGCATGTGTCGCCAAGTGAAATAAACTGGGTGCCATATGGCGTGCGCCAAATGCCACCCGGCTTGCTCCAAAATGTTGCGCCATTTTGAGCCAGTTCGCGCCATTACATGGCCATTTGATTCCAAAATTCACCCTGTTGGCGCCATTCGCGCCAATAGACGGCTACTTTGCGCCACTTGGTGATTAGTTTGTGCCAAATGACGCCAAATTGGTTTGAACTTGTCGCCGCTTGGCGCTACTTGCCGACTATCTAAATACCGGCCATCGGCTACCTGGTTCAGACCCTCCTCAGCTGTTGTATGAACAACATCTCTACCAAATATTTACAATTTTGATGTGTCTGAGGCTTTTGATAATGTTGGAGTGATGATGCTGCTCCATCAGAAGATGATGAGAGATGCTGAGGTGGCCACTTCCTATCAACTTATGCTGGCCAATCCTGAAGAAGAAGAGCCTCCTAAGAAGAAAAGGAAGCACAACTGGTGGTTTAGACCCATGCTCCACCCACAGTTGAGGGCCGAACGTGGACAGTACCATACTTTGATGGAAGAGCTGAGGGAGAATGACAGGAGGAACTACACCAGGATGTCCCCAGAGATGTTTGATGACCTGTTGGTCAGGCTTACACCCCACTTGCAGAAGAAGGACACCCACTTCAGGAAGGCCATTCCCCCTGGTCTCAAGTTGTCCGTCTTCTCATTGGCGCAACTTGGCGCGCCATTACATTCCAGTGGATTCCGGTGGATTCCAATAGGCGGATTGTTTGCGCCAAAGGGCGATATGTTCGCGCCATTTGGTGCCACTTGGCGGAAACTTGGCGCTGATAGCTCGATGCAAGTGGCGCGACGAAAATTTCAAACATTTTGAAATTTTCTTGCCGCCACATTCAAATTTGGTGCCGTTACGGGCCACCACGAGCCAGTTGGGAGGCAGTTTGAGCCACTACACGCCACTAGGCACCTTATTGGCGACACTAGGCGCCGCAGTAAATTGCATTGGCGCAAACTGGCACCAACTGGCGCTGGCCCAGTGGACTCCTAGCATAAAAGACGCTTGCTTAATAATATACTTTATCACCTGACGGAGTGTAGCAGCGGCACACGAAACGTCGTGATCTTTTAGATCCCTTGTTGACCATACATTGCGAGAAATACGAATGTCACTAGCGATATCATTTTCGATTTAGGAGTTGTTACAAGTTATTACGAGCTATTTATGGTCTATTACGGATTGTTACGAGTTATTACGATGTATTTACGGAAACAATTTTACGAGTTGTTACGAGTTGCGACAGATAGCTATGAGTTAATTATGGGTATTTTATGACCTGTTTACGAGTTGTTACGAAAGGCTACTGGTTAGTTACGATTTTAGTTGCGATTTTGTAGATTTCATACGTTTTCCAAAATCGTAAACAATACGTAAGAATACGTAAAGTATACGTACCTATTCGTAAAGTACTCGTAACTGCGTGTTAAGTGCTCGTAATAGCTTGTACCATTCAGTAAAGCCATCGTAGTACGACCCCGAATAGAATCGTAAACAGCTGTATGGGCTTTGTACATGTTCTGGGCGAAGCGTTCATAGCGATAGCTCCTTTACATGATGTCTTCAAGGTTGTTGATGCTTCAGTTGATGCTGGAGTTTAATAGAAAATACTTAATTGTTTATTCATTTATTCATCTATTTACTCTTTTACACATTTTACACACTTTTACACAGATTATTTATTAAATTTTTTACATATTAATTCCTTACATCATTTATTCAATTCAAATAATCATACATGTACAGGATGGCTCATTTAAAAGTGGTCTTCTATGAGGTTCTGCTAAAGGTATAGACTAGTTCTGGGAACGCCCCCCTCTCAAAAAAAAAGAAATGGAAGCTCTTATTACCAATACGTTTTGACTAAAACGTGATGATACAAATTTTGCCGGGAACCCGCCTACTAAATGATATAATTGGTAAATTGTCATATCTATCCGGCCTGGATAGATATCGCGTAGTCCCATATATGTCTTTATGTGTACAGTGCTTGTGACTTTACCAAGAGTGGACAAAATTTGTATCACTTTGAAGATTCCAGAACCTTGCAGTACACACCAATACCTATATGGTAGATGCTCAACCCTTTCTGATCGATTCCACTACGTTTCTTTCACAATGCAATCGCATGACCAGAAATGGTCTTTACCTTTAACAACCTCGATACCAATTTTATTTTAGACAACACTCATTAGACTGCATTATCACATAGTGAAACAGCATTGGGCATAATAGGATGATATATATATAACACATTATGTAATCCAAATTAGTCCGTAAATAGTCATAAAGCAAATTGCTGTTCTGGGAATTTGTTTTTCTTCTTCTCATTTGTTAATATTTCCAATGATTAAATGATTAAAGTTAATAATGTTTTTCTTTCTTCTAAAGCATTTCATAGCCTGAGCTGTTATATTCTTTACTCTGTTAACCATGAACCCCCCCCCTCGAAATATTATCACGGCGGGCAACAACCCGTGGCCGTCACCCTGGTAAACTAGCTCATGTAATATATACCACATCACATTTTACCCTTTCTTTATTTGAATTAAGGCGACTGAAACTCACCAAGGAGTTCTCCAACGAGCTCCATACGAAGAGAAATATGTTGATGCCAAGTGTAAGGTAAAAGCCGAACATATCGACACGTCATTGGCTCAGGGAAGCGATTGTAAACCACGGTGTTTCGGTCACTATTGCCTGGAAAGATCTGTGGAAAACACGCAAGATCGATCACTTGAGAAAAGAACAACGTGTAATTTCATCATGAATAAAAAGGAATGAACAAACATTCAATAAACGAATCACACGTGACTGGTAATCGACTAATTACCTGATTAGGGTCGAAGGATGAGTAAATTGGTACTTACGTTGTCGTTGTCGGTGTTATTGGGGTCTTTAACTGTATCAAAGGTAACACTATCCATACTGCAGGCAATCTTGAAGCTGGTTACCCACTGAGAATAATCCTCACGACCTTGTGTTGCCACTCTTACGATGCTGTACGTAGCTAAAAGATCAACCTGAGATTTGAATGATAATTATATTGTAAATGGAAATAGTAAAACGATGTTTGTATATACACATATATGTACAAACTTGTTGTATTAACGTGACATTTATATTTAACTCTACGGAGTTCCTTTCTCAATTCCTTTGTGAAAAATAACAATAGTTAAACTTAGCGATTTGTTTTTTGATTTTTGGCATTCGGATCTTGGTCTTCTTCCTTTTTTCCTCTTTTTTTTTTGGTAGGGGGAAAGGGGTGGGGGTATTTTTCGGATTTGTTTTCTTCTTTTTTTCATTTAGTTAAAACTGTGCCCTATATCTAAATTAAGTTCTTCAATAGAATGTAGATGTTGATTGGTTACGTGGTTCAATTGCAGGATAGCTTATTCTTGAACGCTTGATCTGAATATTTATGTCTATTTGTGAATATGTACTTGTAGTAATACGGCTCAGCTCTCGGACTGGGGGTGTGCATTAAATACTTAATTAATACATGTATAATTGAAAATGCTGTTGGTCATGAGCCCTATATACGTCGGGATTAAATGTTAGATATAGATCGTTGAACAGATTTCCAGTCTGTCAGTGTTTTCAGAAGGAATTAATATGTAAAGGAATATTTGTTCTTGTGATCTCTTGGTTGATCGAGTAACAAGGTGAGACAGGTTTCGTGTTGTGACGGAGAGATACCCTTTATGAGCTTGAGAAGCTTTATGAAGCGAAACTTCAAACAAACAAGAAAGAAATTCAGGAATATAGACTAACCTGAATCCACTGGTTCAAATCGTTTGTTTTGGCAGACCATCCTCCAGTCAGGGCTCCGACTTTAGCCATGTTTAACCGTGCTCGACGCGGACCGTGGTTGGCGTTGTACTCACTAAAAGCTGTCAGGCTCGAATCTGGGATTGCCCCACTTTCTAGGCCTAGAGGGCTACCATCCTGGATAGGGCCTTTTTTCCGAAGAAAGAAACTTGGCTTAAATTATATATATTCATCTATCCCAACAAAATTCATGTACGTTTAAATAATACATATTGGCCGGAGCTGCATAGTCTTCCAACTCAATAAAGCTACTGGACCTCACTCATTGGCATTTTATTTGTATGTCAGCAAATTTCGAATAATTCGTAAATAATAAAACAGAAAACTGCAGGTAGTATGTCTTTCCCTGGCTAAAATGTTGTGCTTAAATGTACTGACATGACTGTAGAGCTGATAAAAAGTTGCCTTTAAATAATTATTTTTCTTTTTCTTCATATTTGTCTCGAAATGTCACTGTTCTGAAATTGTTTCTTCTTCTCATATATAAATATTCCTAATTATTTAATGAAAAAGGTTTATAATGTGTTTCGTTTTAAAGCATTTCATAACCTGAGCAGTTGAAATATTTATCTGTTAGCTGTCAACTCAACGCCCCCCCCCCCCCCAAAAAAAAAAAAAAAAAAAAAAAAAAAAATCAAGGTGCGTTCCGCGGGCAATAGCCCGGGGTGTCATCCTACTAGCTCATCTACACACTCACCAAGGAGTTCTCCAAAGAACTCCATACGAAGGGAAATATGTTCATGCCATGTGTAAGGTAAAAGGCGAACATATCGACACGACATTGGCACGGGAAAGCGATTGTAAACCACGGTGTTTCGATCACTATTGCCGGGAAAAATCTGAGGAAAACACGCAAAAAGAACAACGTGTAAATTCAAAAAGAGAGATAAATGCTAAGATAAATATCATGAAAAAAAAGGAATTAAGAAACGCTCAATAAACGAATCACACTTGACTGGTAATCGACCAATTAACTGATTATGGTCGAAGGATGAGTAAATCGGTACCTACATTGTCGTTGTCGGTGTTAGTGGGGTCTTTAACTGTATCAAAGGTAACACTATCCATACTGCAGGCAATCTTGAAGCTGGTTACCCACTGGGAATAATCCTCACGACCTTGTGTTGCCACTCTTACGATGCTGTACGTAGCTAAAAGATCAACCTGAGATTTGAATGATAATTATATTGTAAATGGAAATAGTAAAAACGATTTTTGTATATACACATATATGTACAAACTTGTTGTATTAACGTGACATTTATATTTAACTCTACGGAGTTCCTTTCTCAATTCCTTGTGAAAAATAATAATAGTTAAACTTAGCGATTTGTTTTTTGATTTTTGGCATTCGGATCTTGGTCTTCTTCCTTTTTTCCTCTTTTTTTTTGGTAGGGGGAAGGGGTTGGGGTATTTTTCGGAATTTGTTGATATTTTTTGTTTATTCAGTTAAAACTGTGCCCTATATCTAAATTAATTTCTTCAATAGAATGTAGATGTTGATTGGTTACGTGGTTCAGTTGCAGGATAGCTTATTCTTGAACGCTTGATCTGAAGTATTTATGTCTATTTTTGAGCATGTACTTGTAGTAATACGGCTCAGCTCTCGGACTGGGTGTGTGCATTAAATACTTAATTAATACATGTATAATTGAAAATGCTGTTGGTCATGAGCCCTATATACGTCGGGATTAAATGTTAGATATAGATCGTTGAACAGATTTCCAGTCTGTCAGTATTTTCAGAAGGAATTAATATGTAAAGGAATATTTGTTCTTGTGATCTCTTGGTTGATTGAGTAACAAGGTGAGACAGGTTTCGTGTTGTGACGGAGAGATACCCTTTATGAGCTTGAGAACCTTTATGAAGTGAAACTTCAAACAAACAAGAAAGAAATTCAGGAATATAGACTAACCTGAATCCACTGGTTCAAATCGTTTATTTTGGCAGACCATCCTCCAGTCAGGGCTCCGACTTTAGCCATGTTTAACCGCGCTCGACGCGGACCGTGGTTGGCGTTGTACTCACTAAAAGCTGTCAGGCTCGAATCTGGGATTGCCCCACTTTCTAGGCCTAGAGGGCTACCATCCTGGATAGGGCCTTTTTTCCAAAGAAAGAAACTTGGCTTAAATTATTTAGATTCATCTATCCCAACAAAATTCATGTACGTTTAAATAATACATATTGGCCGGAGCTGCATAGTCTTCCAACTCAATAAAGCTACTGGACCTCACTCATTGGCATTTTATTTGTATGTCAGCAAATTTCGATGATATTTCGTAAATAATAAAAGAGAAAACTGCAGGTAGTATGTCTTTCCCTGGCTAAAATGCTGTGCTTAAATGTACTGACATGACTGTAGAGCTGATAAAAAGTTGCCTTTAAATAATTATTTTTCTTTTTCTTCATATTTGTCTCGAAATGTCACTGTTCTGAAATTGTTTCTTCTTCTCATATATAAATATTCCTAATTATTGAATGAAAAAGGTTTATAATGTGTTTCGTTTTAAAGCATTTCATAACCTGAGCAGTTGAAATATTTATCTGTTAGCTGTCAACTCAACGCCCCCCCCAAAAAAAAAAAATTAAAAAAATAGGTGCGTTCCGCGGGCAATAGCCCGGGGTGTCATCCTACTAGCTCATCTACACACTCACCAAGGAGTTCTCCAAAGAAGTCCATACGAAGGGAAATATGTTCATGCCATGTGTAAGGTAAAAGGCGAACATATCGACACGACATTGGCACGGGAAAGCGATTGTAAACCACGGTGTTTCGATCACTATTGCCGGGAAAAATCTGAGGAAAACACGCAAAAAGAACAACGTGTAAATTCAAAAAGAGAGATAAATGCTAAGATGATATCATGAAAAAAAAGGAATTAAGAAACGCTCAATAAACGAATCACACTTGACTGGTAATCGACCAATTAACTGATTATGGTCGAAGGATGAGTAAATCGGTACCTACATTGTCGTTGTCGGTGTTAGTGGGGTCTTTAACTGTATCAAAGGTAACACTATCCATACTGCAGGCAATCTTGAAGCTGGTTACCCACCGGGAATAATCCTCACGACCTTGTGTTGCCACTCTTACGATGCTGTACGTAGCTAAAAGATCAACCTGAGATTTGAATGATAATTATATTGTAAATGGAAATAGTAAAAACGATTTTTGTATATACACATATATGTACAAACTTGTTGTATTAACGTGACATTTATATTTAACTCCACGGAGTTCCTTTCTCAATTCCTTGTGAAAAATAATAATAGTTAAACTTAGCGATTTTTTTTTTTGATTTTTGGCATTCGGATCTTGGTCTTCTTCCTTTTTTCCTCTTTTTTTTGGTAGGGGGAAGGGGGTGGGGGTATTTTTCGGAATTTGTTGATATTTTTTGTTTATTCAGTTAAAACTGTGCCCTATATCTAAATTAATTTCTTCAATAGAATGTAGATGTTGATTGGTTACGTGGTTCAGTTGCAGGATAGCTTATTCTTGAACGCTTGATCTGAAGTATTTATGTCTATTTTTGAACATGTACTTGTAGTAATACGGCTCAGCTCTCGGACACGGTGTGTGCATTAAATACTTAATTAATACATGTATAATTGAAAATGCTGTTGGTCATGAGCCTTATATACGTCGGGATTAAATGTTAAATATAGATCGTTGAACAGATTTCCAGTCTGTCAGTATTTTCAGAAGGAATTAATATTTAAAGGAATATTTGTTCTTGTGATCTCTTGGTTGATTGAGTAACAAGGTGAGACAGGTTTCGTGTTGTGACGGAGAGATACCCTTTTTGAGCTTGAGAAGCTTTATGTAGTGAAACTTCAAACAAACAAGAAAGAAATTCAGGAATATAGACTAACCTGAATCCACTGGTTCAAATCGTTTGTTTTGGCAGACCATCCTCCAGTCAGGGCTCCGACTTTAGCCATGTTTAACCGCGCTCGACGCGGACCGTGGTTGGCGTTGTACTCACTAAAAGCTGTCAGGCTCGAATCTGGGATTGCCCCACTTTCTAGGCCTAGAGGGCTACCATCCTGGATAGGGCCTTTTTTCCAAAGAAAGAAACTTGGCTTAAATTATATAGATTCATCTATCCCAACAAAATTCATGTACGTTTAAATAATACATATTGGCCGGAGCTGCATAGTCTTCCAACTCAATAAAGCTACTGGACCTCACTCATTGGCATTTTATTTGTATGTCAGCAAATTTCGATGATATTTCGTAAATAATAAAAGAGAAAACTGCAGGTAGTATGTCTTTCCCTGGCTAAAATGTTGTGCTTAAATGTACTGACATGACTGTAGAGCTGATAAAAAGTTGCCTTTAAATAATTATTTTTCTCTTTCTTCATATTTGTCTCGAAATGTCACTGTTCTGAAATTGTTTCTTCTTCTCATATATAAATATTCCTAATTATTTAATGAAAAAGGTTTATAATGTGTTTCGTTTTAAAGCATTTCATAACCTGAGCAGTTGAAATATTTATCTGTTAGCTGTCAACTCAACGCCCCCCCCCCCCCCCAAAAAAAAAAAAAAAAAAAAAAAATCAAGGTGCGTTCCGCGGGCAATAGCCCGGGGTGTCATCCCACTAGCTCATCTACACACTCACCAAGGAGTTCTCCAAAGAACTCCATACGAAGGGAAATATGTTCATGCCATGTGTAAGGTAAAAGGCGAACATATCGACACGACATTGGCACGGGAAAGCGATTGTAAACCACGGTGTTTCGATCACTATTGCCGGGAAAGATCTGAGGAAAACACGCAAAAAGAACAACGTGTAAATTCAAAAAGAGAGATAAATGCTAAGATGAATATCGTGAAAAAAAAGGAATTAAGAAACGCTCAATAAACGAATCACACTTGACTGGTAATCGACCAATTAACTGATTATGGTCGAAGGATGAGTAAATCGGTACCTACATTGTCGTTGTCGGTGTTAGTGGGGTCTTTAACTGTATCAAAGGTAACACTATCCATACTGCAGGCAATCTTGAAGCTGGTTACCCACTGGGAATAATCCTCACGACCTTGTGTTGCCACTCTTACGATGCTGTACGTAGCTAAAAGATCAACCTGAGATTTGAATGATAATTATATTGTAAATGGAAATAGTAAAAACGATTTTTGTATATACACATATATGTACAAACTTGTTGTATTAACGTGACATTTATATTTAACTCTACGGAGTTCCTTTCTCAATTCCTTGTGAAAAATAATAATAGTTAAACTTAGCGATTTTTTTTTTGATTTTTGGCATTCGGATCTTGGTCTTCTTCCTTTTTTCCTCTTTTTTTTGGTAGGGGGAAGGGGGTGGGGGTATTTTTTGGAATTTGTTGATATTTTTTGTTTATTCAGTTAAAACTGTGCCCTATATCTAAATTAATTTCTTCAATATAATGTAGATGTTGATTGGTTACGTGGTTCAGTTGCAGGATAGCTTATTCTTGAACGCTTGATCTGAAGTATTTATGTCTATTTTTGAACATGTACTTGTAGTAATACGGCTCAGCTCTCGGACACGGTGTGTGCATTAAATACTTAATTAATACATGTATAATTGAAAATGCTGTTGGTCATGAGCCTTATATACATCGGGATTAAATGTTAAATATAGATCGTTGAACAGATTTCCAGTCTGTCAGTATTTTCAGAAGGAATTAATATTTAAAGGAATATTTGTTCTTGTGATCTCTTGGTTGATTGAGTAACAAGGTGAGACAGGTTTCGTGTTGTGACGGAGAAATACCCTTTATGAGCTTGAGAAGCTTTATGTAGTGAAACTTCAAACAAACAAGAAAGAAATTCAGGAATATAGACTAACCTGAATCCACTGGTTCAAATCGTTTGTTTTGGCAGACCATCCTCCAGTCAGGGCTCCGACTTTAGCCATGTTTAACCGCGCTCGACGCGGACCGTGGTTGGCGTTGTACTCACTAAAAGCTGTCAGGCTCGAATCTGGGATTGCCCCACTTTCTAGGCCTAGAGGGCTACCATCCTGGATAGGGCCTTTTTTCCAAAGAAAGAAACTTGGCTTAAATTATATAGATTCATCTATCCCAACAAAATTCATGTACGTTTAAATAATACATATTGGCCGGAGCTGCATAGTCTTCCAACTCAATAAAGCTACTGGACCTCACTCATTGGCATTTTATTTGTATGTCAGCAAATTTCGATGATATTTCGTAAATAATAAAAGAGAAAACTGCAGGTAGTATGTCTTTCCCTGGCTAAAATGTTGTGCTTAAATGTACTGACATGACTGTAGAGCTGATAAAAAGTTGCCTTTAAATAATTATTTTTCTCTTTCTTCATATTTGTCTCGAAATGTCACTGTTCTGAAATTGTTTCTTCTTCTCATATATAAATATTCCTAATTATTTAATGAAAAAGGTTTATAATGTGTTTCGTTTTAAAGCATTTCATAACCTGAGCAGTTGAAATATTTATCTGTTAGCTGTCAACTCAACGCCCCCCCCCCCCAAAAAAAAAAAAAAAAAAAAAAATCAAGGTGCGTTCCGCGGGCAATAGCCCGGGGTGTCATCCCACTAGCTCATCTACACACTCACCAAGGAGTTCTCCAAAGAACTCCATACGAAGGGAAATATGTTCATGCCATGTGTAAGGTAAAAGGCGAACATATCGACACGACATTGGCACGGGAAAGCGATTGTAAACCACGGTGTTTCGATCACTATTGCCGGGAAAGATCTGAGGAAAACACGCAAAAAGAACAACGTGTAAATTCAAAAAGAGAGATAAATGCTAAGATGAATATCGTGAAAAAAAAGGAATTAAGAAACGCTCAATAAACGAATCACACTTGACTGGTAATCGACCAATTAACTGATTATGGTCGAAGGATGAGTAAATCGGTACCTACATTGTCGTTGTCGGTGTTAGTGGGGTCTTTAACTGTATCAAAGGTAACACTATCCATACTGCAGGCAATCTTGAAGCTGGTTACCCACTGGGAATAATCCTCACGACCTTGTGTTGCCACTCTTACGATGCTGTACGTAGCTAAAAGATCAACCTGAGATTTGAATGATAATTATATTGTAAATGGAAATAGTAAAAACGATTTTTGTATATACACATATATGTACAAACTTGTTGTATTAACGTGACATTTATATTTAACTCTACGGAGTTCCTTTCTCAATTCCTTGTGAAAAATAATAATAGTTAAACTTAGCGATTTTTTTTTTGATTTTTGGCATTCGGATCTTGGTCTTCTTCCTTTTTTCCTCTTTTTTTTGGTAGGGGGAAGGGGGTGGGGGTATTTTTCGGAATTTGTTGATATTTTTTGTTTATTCAGTTAAAACTGTGCCCTATATCTAAATTAATTTCTTCAATAGAATGTAGATGTTGATTGGTTACGTGGTTCAGTTGCAGGATAGCTTATTCTTGAACGCTTGATCTGAAGTATTTATGTCTATTTTTGAACATGTACTTGTAGTAATACGGCTCAGCTCTCGGACACGGTGTGTGCATTAAATACTTAATTAATACATGTATAATTGAAAATGCTGTTGGTCATGAGCCTTATATACGTCGGGATTAAATGTTAAATATAGATCGTTGAACAGATTTCCAGTCTGTCAGTATTTTCAGAAGGAATTAATATTTAAAGGAATATTTGTTCTTGTGATCTCTTGGTTGATTGAGTAACAAGGTGAGACAGGTTTCGTGTTGTGACGGAGAGATACCCTTTATGAGCTTGAGAAGCTTTATGTAGTGAAACTTCAAACAAACAAGAAAGAAATTCAGGAATATAGACTAACCTGAATCCACTGGTTCAAATCGTTTGTTTTGGCAGACCATCCTCCAGTCAGGGCTCCGACTTTAGCCATGTTTAACCGCGCTCGACGCGGACCGTGGTTGGCGTTGTACTCACTAAAAGCTGTCAGGCTCGAATCTGGGATTGCCCCACTTTCTAGGCCTAGAGGGCTACCATCCTGGATAGGGCCTTTTTTCCAAAGAAAGAAACTTGGCTTAAATTATATAGATTCATCTATCCCAACAAAATTCATGTACGTTTAAATAATACATATTGGCCGGAGCTGCATAGTCTTCCAACTCAATAAAGCTACTTGACCTCACTCATTGGCATTTTATTTGTATGTCAGCAAATTTCGATGATATTTCGTAAATAATAAAAGAGAAAACTGCAGGTAGTATGTCTTTCCCTGGCTAAAATGTTGTGCTTAAATGTACTGACATGACTGTAGAGCTGATAAAAAGTTGCCTTTAAATAATTATTTTTCTCTTTCTTCATATTTGTCTCGAAATGTCACTGTTCTGAAATTGTTTCTTCTTCTCATATATAAATATTCCTAATTATTTAATGAAAAAGGTTTATAATGTGTTTCGTTTTAAAGCATTTCATAACCTGAGCAGTTGAAATATTTATCTGTTAGCTGTCAACTCAACGCCCCCCCCCCCCAAAAAAAAAAAAAAAAAATCAAGGTGCGTTCCGCGGGCAATAGCCCGGGGTGTCATCCCACTAGCTCATCTACACACTCACCAAGGAGTTCTCCAAAGAACTCCATACGAAGGGAAATATGTTCATGCCATGTGTAAGGTAAAAGGCGAACATATCGACACGACATTGGCACGGGAAAGCGATTGTAAACCACGGTGTTTCGATCACTATTGCCGGGAAAGATCTGAGGAAAACACGCAAAAAGAACAACGTGTAAATTCAAAAAGAGAGATAAATGCTAAGATGAATATCGTGAAAAAAAAGGAATTAAGAAACGCTCAATAAACGAATCACACTTGACTGGTAATCGACCAATTAACTGATTATGGTCGAAGGATGAGTAAATCGGTACCTACATTGTCGTTGTCGGTGTTAGTGGGGTCTTTAACTGTATCAAAGGTAACACTATCCATACTGCAGGCAATCTTGAAGCTGGTTACCCACTGGGAATAATCCTCACGACCTTGTGTTGCCACTCTTACGATGCTGTACGTAGCTAAAAGATCAACCTGAGATTTGAATGATAATTATATTGTAAATGGAAATAGTAAAAACGATTTTTGTATATACACATATATGTACAAACTTGTTGTATTAACGTGACATTTATATTTAACTCTACGGAGTTCCTTTCTCAATTCCTTGTGAAAAATAATAATAGTTAAACTTAGCGATTTTTTTTTTGATTTTTGGCATTCGGATCTTGGTCTTCTTCCTTTTTTCCTCTTTTTTTTGGTAGGGGGAAGGGGGTGGGGGTATTTTTCGGAATTTGTTGATATTTTTTGTTTATTCAGTTAAAACTGTGCCCTATATCTAAATTAATTTCTTCAATAGAATGTAGATGTTGATTGGTTACGTGGTTCAGTTGCAGGATAGCTTATTCTTGAACGCTTGATCTGAAGTATTTATGTCTATTTTTGAACATGTACTTGTAGTAATACGGCTCAGCTCTCGGACACGGTGTGTGCATTAAATACTTAATTAATACATGTATAATTGAAAATGCTGTTGGTCATGAGCCTTATATACGTCGGGATTAAATGTTAAATATAGATCGTTGAACAGATTTCCAGTCTGTCAGTATTTTCAGAAGGAATTAATATTTAAAGGAATATTTGTTCTTGTGATCTCTTGGTTGATTGAGTAACAAGGTGAGACAGGTTTCGTGTTGTGACGGAGAGATACCCTTTATGAGCTTGAGAAGCTTTATGTAGTGAAACTTCAAACAAACAAGAAAGAAATTCAGGAATATAGACTAACCTGAATCCACTGGTTCAAATCGTTTGTTTTGGCAGACCATCCTCCAGTCAGGGCTCCGACTTTAGCCATGTTTAACCGCGCTCGACGCGGACCGTGGTTGGCGTTGTACTCACTAAAAGCTGTCAGGCTCGAATCTGGGATTGCCCCACTTTCTAGGCCTAGAGGGCTACCATCCTGGATAGGGCCTTTTTTCCAAAGAAAGAAACTTGGCTTAAATTATATAGATTCATCTATCCCAACAAAATTCATGTACGTTTAAATAATACATATTGGCCGGAGCTGCATAGTCTTCCAACTCAATAAAGCTACTTGACCTCACTCATTGGCATTTTATTTGTATGTCAGCAAATTTCGATGATATTTCGTAAATAATAAAAGAGAAAACTGCAGGTAGTATGTCTTTCCCTGGCTAAAATGTTGTGCTTAAATGTACTGACATGACTGTAGAGCTGATAAAAAGTTGCCTTTAAATAATTATTTTTCTCTTTCTTCATATTTGTCTCGAAATGTCACTGTTCTGAAATTGTTTCTTCTTCTCATATATAAATATTCCTAATTATTTAATGAAAAAGGTTTATAATGTGTTTCGTTTTAAAGCATTTCATAACCTGAGCAGTTGAAATATTTATCTGTTAGCTGTCAACTCAACGCCCCCCCCCCCCAAAAAAAAAAAAAAAAAAATCAAGGTGCGTTCCGCGGGCAATAGCCCGGGGTGTCATCCCACTAGCTCATCTACACACTCACCAAGGAGTTCTCCAAAGAACTCCATACGAAGGGAAATATGTTCATGCCATGTGTAAGGTAAAAGGCGAACATATCGACACGACATTGGCACGGGAAAGCGATTGTAAACCACGGTGTTTCGATCACTATTGCCGGGAAAGATCTGAGGAAAACACGCAAAAAGAACAACGTGTAAATTCAAAAAGAGAGATAAATGCTAAGATGAATATCGTGAAAAAAAAGGAATTAAGAAACGCTCAATAAACGAATCACACTTGACTGGTAATCGACCAATTAACTGATTATGGTCGAAGGATGAGTAAATCGGTACCTACATTGTCGTTGTCGGTGTTAGTGGGGTCTTTAACTGTATCAAAGGTAATACTATCCATACTGCAGGCAATCTTGAAGCTGGTTACCCACTGGGAATAATCCTCACGACCTTGTGTTGCCACTCTTACGATGCTGTACGTAGCTAAAAGATCAACCTGAGATTTGAATGATAATTATATTGTAAATGGAAATAGTAAAAACGATTTTTGTATATACACATATATGTACAAACTTGTTGTATTAACGTGACATTTATATTTAACTCTACGGAGTTCCTTTCTCAATTCCTTGTGAAAAATAATAATAGTTAAACTTAGCGATTTTTTTTTTGATTTTTAGCATTCGGATCTTGGTCTTCTTCCTTTTTTCCTCTTTTTTTTGGTAGGGGGAAGGGGGTGGGGGTATTTTTCGGAATTTGTTGATATTTTTTGTTTATTCAGTTAAAACTGTGCCCTATATCTAAATTAATTTCTTCAATAGAATGTAGATGTTGATTGGTTACGTGGTTCAGTTGCAGGATAGCTTATTCTTGAACGCTTGATCTGAAGTATTTATGTCTATTTTTGAACATGTACTTGTAGTAATACGGCTCAGCTCTCGGACACGGTGTGTGCATTAAATACTTAATTAATACATGTATAATTGAAAATGCTGTTGGTCATGAGCCTTATATACGTCGGGATTAAATGTTAAATATAGATCGTTGAACAGATTTCCAGTCTGTCAGTATTTTCAGAAGGAATTAATATTTAAAGGAATATTTGTTCTTGTGATCTCTTGGTTGATTGAGTAACAAGGTGAGACAGGTTTCGTGTTGTGACGGAGAGATACCCTTTATGAGCTTGAGAAGCTTTATGTAGTGAAACTTCAAACAAACAAGAAAGAAATTCAGGAATATAGACTAACCTGAATCCACTGGTTCAAATCGTTTGTTTTGGCAGACCATCCTCCAGTCAGGGCTCCGACTTTAGCCATGTTTAACCGCGCTCGACGCGGACCGTGGTTGGCGTTGTACTCACTAAAAGCTGTCAGGCTCGAATCTGGGATTGCCCCACTTTCTAGGCCTAGAGGGCTACCATCCTGGATAGGGCCTTTTTTCCAAAGAAAGAAACTTGGCTTAAATTATATAGATTCATCTATCCCAACAAAATTCATGTACGTTTAAATAATACATATTGGCCGGAGCTGCATAGTCTTCCAACTCAATAAAGCTACTGGACCTCACTCATTGGCATTTTATTTGTATGTCAGCAAATTTCGATGATATTTCGTAAATAATAAAAGAGAAAACTGCAGGTAGTATGTCTTTCCCTGGCTAAAATGTTGTGCTTAAATGTACTGACATGACTGTAGAGCTGATAAAAAGTTGCCTTTAAATAATTATTTTTCTCTTTCTTCATATTTGTCTCGAAATGTCACTGTTCTGAAATTGTTTCTTCTTCTCATATATAAATATTCCTAATTATTTAATGAAAAAGGTTTATAATGTGTTTCGTTTTAAAGCATTTCATAACCTGAGCAGTTGAAATATTTATCTGTTAGCTGTCAACTCAACGCCCCCCCCCCCCCCCCAAAAAAAAAAAAAAAAAAAAATCAAGGTGCGTTCCGCGGGCAATAGCCCGGGGTGTCATCCCACTAGCTCATCTACACACTCACCAAGGAGTTCTCCAAAGAACTCCATACGAAGGGAAATATGTTCATGCCATGTGTAAGGTAAAAGGCGAACATATCGACACGACATTGGCACGGGAAAGCGATTGTAAACCACGGTGTTTCGATCACTATTGCCGGGAAAGATCTGAGGAAAACACGCAAAAAGAACAACGTGTAAATTCAAAAAGAGAGATAAATGCTAAGATGAATATCGTGAAAAAAAAGGAATTAAGAAACGCTCAATAAACGAATCACACTTGACTGGTAATCGACCAATTAACTGATTATGGTCGAAGGATGAGTAAATCGGTACCTACATTGTCGTTGTCGGTGTTAGTGGGGTCTTTAACTGTATCAAAGGTAACACTATCCATACTGCAGGCAATCTTGAAGCTGGTTACCCACTGGGAATAATCCTCACGACCTTGTGTTGCCACTCTTACGATGCTGTACGTAGCTAAAAGATCAACCTGAGATTTGAATGATAATGATATCGAAAATGGAAATAGTAAAAACGGTTTTTGTATATACACACATATATGTACAAACTTGTTGTATTAACAAGACATCCATATATATAACCCTACGAAGTTCCTTCGTCAATTCCTCATGAAAAAAATAGTAATAGTTAAACTTAGCAATTTGTTTTTGGATTTTTAGCATTTGAACTTGTTCTCCTTCCTTTTTTTTTTTTTTTTTTGGTAGGGGGAGGGGGTGGGAGTATTTTTCGGAATTTGTTGATATTTTCTGTTTATTAAATTAAAACTATGCCCCTCATCTAAGTGAAGTTCTTCAATGGAATGTAACTGTTCATTAGTTACGTATTTCATTCTCACAATATTCGGCTTTGTAACACGTTTCATTTATGGAAGGTAAAAAGTTCATTCTCTCAAAAATCTGTAAGAAATAGTTTGCCAAACATATGGATCACTCTACCTCCAGTCATTCGCCTATATAAAAACAGTCCAATGTTTAAAAAACAAATGAAACTGACCTTTTATTTTGAATACCATTAAATTTGCCTTCTAAACCTTTTTGCCCCCCCCCCTCCAATTTTAAATTATTTCATACTTGTTTTGTAGTTTGTTTATTTTTTTATTGTGTTTATCGCTGTATTTTGTGATATCTTTAACTAATATATGCTCAGTAATATAAATAATATACATTATAATATTCGGGGAACTTCTCATACAAGGCCACCATTTCCTTTGTTCTCCCATTTCATTTGAAACTATTGTATTAACTGAATATTCTTTGTATGTATATAACCTTGTATGTTTATTTGCATTTATTGTGTTTTTTATGAAAAAGAAATGAATAAACGAACTTGACCTCGAACTATTCTTGCACGCTTGATCGGAAGTATTTATGTCGATTCGTGAATATGTACCTCTGGTAATACGGCTCAGCTCTCGGACTGGGTGTGTGCATTAAATACTTAATTAATACATGTATAATTGAAAATGCTGTTGGTCATGAGCCCTATATACGTCGGGATTAAATGTTAGATATAGATCGTTGAACAGATTTCCAGTCTGTCAGTATTTTCAGAAGGAATTAATATTTAAAGGAATATTTGTTCTTGTGATCTCTTGGTTGATTGAGTAACAAGGTGAGACAGGTTTCGTGTTGTGACGGAGAGATACCCTTTATGAGCTTGAGAAGCTTTATGTAGTGAAACTTCAAACAAACAAGAAAGAAATTCAGGAATATAGACTAACCTGAATCCACTGGTTCAAATCGTTTGTTTTGGCAGACCATCCTCCAGTCAGGGCTCCGACTTTAGCCATGTTTAACCGCGCTCGACGCGGACCGTGGTTGGCGTTGTACTCACTAAAAGCTGTCAGGCTCGAATCTGGGATTGCCCCACTTTCTAGGCCTAGAGGGCTACCATCCTGGATAGGGCCTTTTTTCCAAAGAAAGAAACTTGGCTTAAATTATATAGATTCATCTATCCCAACAAAATTCATGTACGTTTAAATAATACATATTGGCCGGAGCTGCATAGTCTTCCAACTCAATAAAGCTACTGGACCTCACTCATTGGCATTTTATTTGTATGTCAGCAAATTTCGAAGATATTTCGTAAATAATCAAAGAGAAAATTGCAGGCAGCATGTCTTTCTCTGGCTTAAATGTTTAATGCTTAATTCTACTGACACAACTGTAGCGCTAATGAAAAGTTTTTTTTTCTTCTTCTTTCTTCTGTTTTGGGATTTTTATATCCATTCATTTGTAAATATTTCCAATAATTTAATGAAAAAAGTTAATAAAGTTGTTCATTCTAAAGCATTTCATAACTTGAGCAGTTATAGCCTTTACTCTGTAAACTCCACCCCCCCCCCTCCCTCGAATACTTCCGAGGTGTTTCTGCGGGCAAGCGCCCGGGGCCGTCACCCTGATAAACTAGCTCATCTAATATATATACATTACATCACATTTTACCCTTTCTTTGTTTGAATGAATGAGACTTAGTTTAAACCTTAAACTCACCAAGGCGTCTCCCAAAGAGCTCCATACGAAGAGAAATACGTTGCTGCCAAGTGTAAGGTAAAAGGCGAACATATCGACACGACATTGGCACGGGAAAGCGATTGTAAACCACGGTGTTTCGGTCACTATTGCCGGCAAAGATCTGGGGGAAACACGCAAGATCAATCAATTGAGAATATAATAAAGTGTAATTTCAAAGAGAGAGAGAGAGATCAGTGCTATGAAAAACATCATGAACAAATAAAGGAATTGAGAAACGCTCAATAAACGAATCACATGTGACCGGTTATCGTAATCAACCAATTGATTACTGATTAGGGTCGAAGGATGAGTAAATCGGTACGTACGTTGTCGTTGTCGGTGTTAACGGGGTCTTTCACTGTATCAAAGGTAATACTGTTCATACTGCAGGCAATCTTGAAGGTGGATACCCACTGGAACTGGTCCTGACGACCTTGCGTTGCCACTCCTACGATGCTGTACGTATCTAAAAGATCAACCTGAGATTTGAATGATAATGACGTTGAAGATAACATATATTTTATTTTAATTTGATTTACATGTATATATATATATATATATCAATTTTGTGTATTAACAGGACATCTATATCTAACCCTAAATTATGGTACCTCATAAAAAAAATACACATCATTTGAATGTCAGACACAGAAACATGTCGACGAAAATATTTTATGGTATAATCAAGATATTGTTTTTGAACAGAAAATGTTATTTTATGAAGACTGGTATAAAAGTGGTATTATATACTTCAATGAAATCTTTAAAAATTGTACTTTTTTCAGTAAATGAATTATTTATCCGCCTTAAAACTAGAAGAAGTAAACAATTTTTGATTTTTGACTATACAAAGCAACAAAAATAAATTCCAAACATTTGGATAAATGATAAGCATAGGATACCTTGGTTTGCAATGACCATAATTTCCCTATCCCCCACTTTCTATTTGGAAAATCAGTTTAGCCTGTTAGTCTTTTGAGTAGTAAACAGTGGTATAATATGATAAGTTTTGAACAAATTAAAATGAATAAATGTTGTTTGTATTGGGAAGATGTCTTGCAGAAGGACGTTAAATGGTCCTCTGTTTTTAATAGGAATTTGATTGGGATAAAAGATTTTCGTCTACGTTAATTTAATTTCAAGCTTTTATATAATATGTTACCAGTTCGTAAAAATCTGTTCAAGTGGGGTCTCTCAAACAATGACCTTTGTTTAAAATGCAAAAAGACTGAAGATGTGCTTCATGCTTTCATTTCTTGTAAGGCAAATGAAACTTTCTTTGAATATGTAAAGGACTTTAATAGTTTTACGTGATTTCAATCTTAGAATAGAGATAGATATTTTTTTATTACTCATAATGAATTTGAAAACCGAAATCGATTTAATAATGACGATTGGTTTTTGGTCTATTTATAAAATGATTATTTTTTTTTGTAATAAGTATGGTTATGATAATAAAGATTTTAGTTTGATTTACTTATTTAAGAGAGAAATGACAAACAGAATAGAAATAAACGAACATTTGAAAGTACAAAATATGAAATTTCCTGCGAATTTGCTTAGTTATATTTGAATAAATAACTTGTGTATTATTGACGTTCCATTGATTTGCTAAATTGTAAGCAAAATTATGTTACTGTTTGAATATTGAATAAACACCTCTAAGAGGCAGAGAGAGAAAAAAAAACATCTAACCCTACATGAGTTACCTCGTCAATTCCTAGAAAAAATATTTAGAAATAGCTACAAGTTAACAATAATTTGGAAATAGCCTCATTTTATTCTGTCGGCTGCTCTAAAAATTAGTT